CCTCAATGGGAGTCCCTGTGGATGGAAGGGGCCGACATTGAGAGGCGATGCTTTGTTTGCCCACAATATGCAAGTGCAAGACTTATCACGCAATGGCCCTAGATGCGCCGATGTCCAGGTCCGCTGCTTGATTGCCTTGAGACACTTCGCAAATCGCGGCGACTCTGAAACGCTGTCGGCGTCCTCGGGGGGGGGGGGGGGGAACATTGACGAAGTACCTGGACAGCGGCTTGTTCCGCGCTGCTCTGGACCTCACCTCACCGAGGGCTGCTGTGCTCGGTAGGGGGCAATCCTTCAGGGTCATGCTCGTTAGCGGCCTTGCTCGGCGCCTTTCCCTCATTGTTCGGCCGGTATTCGGTAACGTCGCCTCGTCGCATGGATGGAAAGGCTGGGATGGGCTGGGATAGGATGGAATTGAAACTGGAGGGATGGATGGCCGGCTGGCCATTGAATCGGCTACACCATCGATACTGGACGGTTCAGAGGCATTGATTGCCCACGCGGTATCCCTGCCAATCCATTGGCCAGGCCAGCGAACCCAAGGGCGTTTTAGCTACCACCAGGCGAGCGACGGCCAGTACCGCGGCCTTCCGCCGCCTTCCTCTAGTAGGCCGTCTGGTATAGACTTATCCTTTCTGGACCTATCTCTGGTAATCCCGGCCCCATCCAGGTTGGCTGGTGTGGTGAGGCGACTGGCTGCAGGCGCCGTCACTGGCTGGCTCGGAATCGCGATGGTGGCTATGAAATCTCAGGATTCAGCATTTATGACAGGCGACTTCTCATGAACGTGACTGAATCTGCAACCAGTCTCTTGCAAGCCCTGGCCGCAGCGCCTCACCGCCAGCTCCGTCTTGTTGCTTGGTAGGCGGTGCGTGTATGCTGCAGCTGCCAGGACGTGACACTCGCTCTGACATGCCTTTCACAGGCGGGCGGATGAGGGGAGGGCGCGTCTCTGGATTGAGCGGCAGGCACAGAAGGGTCCTACGAAAGGAGGGGGATCAAGAGGTGGAGGGGTGGCCAAGTCCCTTTTGGTCGTATCACGAGAGGCAGCGGACGGACGTGCGAGGCGCTTGGCACGTCTCGATATACGTATTCGGCAGCAATATTGGCGAGCTGAGCACCCTCATCAAGAGTCGTGCAGCCAACCACGTCCCTAATTCGGAACAATGATCCTACCCCAGCATATCGCCCAGAGAGCCGGAACCTCGCATCCTTCGGCCATCTGGGTTCCTATTTTCGCACCCAACCGAGCGTCCCAAGACCAGCCGGTACGTCAGGGAGGCGTGGGGACAAGATGGAGGACCAGAGTCCAGGAGGGGGTGTGCTGAAGGCCCTCACGCACACATGCCTCCCGCTTCCGTCTCGTCTCTGCCTTTCCCTCTGTCCCGTCTCTGGCCTGCTTCTCTTCTCTATTCATCTTTTCCTTTCAGGCGCTCATCAGTTGTTACTCACTGCGTTGACTCCCTCTCGTCCTCTCACACCCAGCACACAGCACACAGACCGCATGCTCTCTCACGCCACGATACGCATACCAGGGGCCCGGTAGCCTGTCCACTTGTCATGCCGAGGCGGACATGCGTTGTCCTTCTCAACCGTCATGACTTTGTCTTCCTGCCTCCTTCAATGTCTGCCTACACACTCCTCTCTCCTGCTCGCACTCCCTCGGGCCCGGTCACGCTGCAGTCACTTGCTCCTGGTCCCTCTCTCCTCAGCCCTACTCTTGCATCTCGAGAGTGGAGCATGAAAAGTCGACCCAGTTTACTCGTGTAAGAGCTACTACTACTAGCATACGTAGTAGACAGCCTTGCTGTACGTCGTTCACGTACTAGTAAGCGCCGCAGCAGGGTGTTCATGTGGCCTACACGTTTCCATCTGCCCAGATACCCTGTCCTCATTTGTCTTTATTAAAGGCCACTGGATGTTCTTTCACTCCTTTTCCCAAAGTTTAATAAGGCCAGTCATATCCCACGCTTTGCTCGTCACAATCGACAATACGTGTCTCATTACATATCCCTCTAGCTCATTGGGTACCTTTGCTTTCTTGTTCCCCCTTCCGCCCCCCACAAAGTGAAGCAGCCTAAGGAGCTTTTCAGACAAGCCGGTCACCAACGTTTGACCCGTCAGTCTCCTCTGCAACGCGGAAACTACCGCCTTTCTTGAGCTAAGAAGGGCCGCGGGTTAGCGAGCCAGCTAAAGTTTGGACGGGCCGTGATATCACATCATCCTCTCTGTTTCTATCAAGATGAGAAGCCTCTCAGACGAAAACCTACGCCACGAAGCCATGCCACCAATGTCACCTCTGCCGTCGTCACGCGGACCAATAGAAGGGAACGTTGACATATGCTTTGGGATGCTGCCCCCTGGCATCATCTCCTTCTCCAATAAGAAGTGCGCTCACGCCGTGACGCACGACTGCCCGTTTCTAGTCGATTCCAACTCCACGCTCTGCACCGCGTGCGCCTACGCGGTTGCTCATGGCCAGCCATGCCCTTAACAACGGCAATGCTGGAGCAGGCCCTTCTACTGGGGCGACTTGTCACGGAGCCGGAGAGAAAAGGGCTCAACCTCGGGAGTACACGTCTCTCCTACGACACGCAACAATGAGTCTCTCAGCAATAGTGGTTGGGCCGGAAGGGTTGCCCCCTTTCGCAACCATGACGTTAAAGAGCAATCGAAAACCTGTCTATCTCACCAACACGATTTAAATGACTGCCGAGCCACGCGCCGGAGACGCAAGTCCGGCCGGCAATGCTGGAGTTGAGCCCATGTTGAGCCCCTGGTGCCAAGGTTCTCGTTCTCAAACACGCATGTGGGCACTGGGGGCCTGTCAAAAGAATGCGCAGCAAACGAGAGCGGTTTAATAATTAAGAATATCCGTCAACAGGTGGGAGCCAGCCGGGGTCCTTGGTTGCTTCTTTTTCATTGATCGTCCCACTCTATTCTGTGGATTTCATTTCTGTTCTTTGGCCTTTCATGCTATTCCACTTTATTTACTTATTTTCCTTGTGTCCTTTTTGGTTACCAATCTCTTTGTCCGTCTTTTCATTTCAACGGGACTATATACACGGATCACTTGAGCGTGCAGCGAGCGAGCCTTTGACGCAATCATTCTAGACTTGTGTGCGCCTTGCAAAGGGCTCTCAGATATAGCGGAGGAGACCGAATCCGAAGAGATTGGCTGGAGGAGGGGTAGGGAAGCATACAATACATGTACGGGTCACTACGAACTGATGCGGGGACTAATTTGCTCTTTACTTGTTCTTTCGGTTTCTCTTGGTTGCTTTCCTTGTTTCTTTGTGTCTTCTTCTACTGTGTGGTGTTGCGAATCACGAGGTCACGATTTGGGGTCTGGGAGGGTATCATTCCCAACCGTCTTACCATACGCGTACTAGGTGCACGACAGAGTGGATGGTCCAGGAAACAGCAAGCTCTTTGGGGGGGATTTCTTTGTCTCTTCTTGTGTTTTTTCTGCGCGGGATATTTCGGAAATAGAATCGTTATACATGATAGAATTACAGGCTCCATTCTTGTCAAAGATTGAATGTTTTTCAGCAGCTGAGTTTCACCAGCTGAGCTTATTTGGCTCTTTGGCTCCATTCTGTATATTGCTTATGACCCGTTCGTACGACTTCCGTACAAGGTATCAATGGCACACCCCCCTGTTCATCGTATACCTTTCCGTTTACACTTTCAACCCCCCCAAGCTCCGGGTTTCAAAAAGATGTTTCTCCTGATGACAGCTTCCAACGATTACTTGCAGGATGGCCTCACGGGGTTTTTGAGTCAAGATGACGCCATATCGGGTGAAAGTTTCCCTACACAGCCCTTTTCTTCCACTATCTCCTTTCTCTCCCTTACATGAAGACATCACCAACAACCCGTTAGAGTGCATGTGGTACGTATGCTGTAATAACACCGAACCACAAGTTCCACCTCCCAGAACGGAGAGTAACACAGAAACATATCTATCCATCGGGCGGCACGCTTTTCCCACCAGAGCCAACGAGGATTGACAAACATCCCTAAAGGCAGTGTACGTACGTACGTAGTATCCGCGAACCTTGAGGGATTGGCTGATCCCTGTCTTAGGTTTGTCTCTTTAGGTATCAACGTGCATTATCCTTTCGGGACCGAAACAGAGTGCGCACATGCGAATTTCGCTGCCTCTGCCCCTCCTTCTGTCTGCTTTTGGCGTATGTTGGCCTGAATCCTTTGATGACTCTTTTTTTTTTTTCTTCCCCCTCTCTTATGCAGTTGAATCCTTTGAACCTTTTTGCCTTACGGGAGGATTTTTTTTTTTTTTCTTTTTTCTTTTTTTCTGTGCTATTTTATGGGTTTCTAGAATTGGTTCCTTTAACTTGAGTCTTTTAAATAGTGTCTCTGAGGTGAGGGCGTGAAAGTGATGTTTAGGTTCCGCCTACACGGGCAATGTAAGACGAATCGCGGAACGGGAATGGGATTAGATTCACATCTCTCTCTATTCATGAGTACAATCATCTAAACTTCGTTCTCATGTTTCATTGAACATCATTGGATGCATTAAGTGAGTTGACGCTCAGTACAATGGTTGCTTCTTACCTACCTACCTACTTATTGAACTCTGGTTGTCCACTCTCTTCGTATCGAATCGATCCAATGATGTGCAGAGCGGCAAAAAAAAAATTAATAAAAAAAAAAAAAAAAAAAAAAAAAAAAAAAAAAAAAAAAAAGGTCTCCTAAAGATATTACTGGGACCGTCCTGATTGTCTTCACAAACATTGGGCATCTTTCTAGTCCAAACCTTTTCGTTGAGTGACACGTCGAAAAGTGTCGGTTGGAACTGGGTTTTGCATGTGACAGCCTCCTCAATTGACAACCCATTTACACGCCTCTCGTTTGAGACCTCTTCAAGGCGGCAACTCGTGGGGGACGTGGGGGACTTGCACCCAAGACATGAAATTGTACAATCACGTAGAGTAGACAGTGCGGGAACGTAGGTCATGACAAGCAGTCTTTTATTTGAAATGCAAAGGTATCTAGAAAGCTTTTTGGTTCATGTCTCATGCCAAACAAGTGCCCAATCATGGCCTATCCAAAAAAGCGTTCGCCGCAGCCTGGGCACCGAAAAAGCCCAGGGACCGCATCCATGCGCCCGTCCAGTGCGTCGACAAAATGTCCCGGTCGACAAACACCGGCCCGCTCATTCTAGAGCGTCAGAAGTGAATCCGTTGGAAATGATAAACCCGGGTATCAACCCAATAACTCATGTGTCATCTATTCACATTGTAATCCACCGTTATAAAAATCCCCAAGCGTCCGTCCCCGTAGAAGAATATGGTTTTGAGAGAATGAAAGAATCGAAATCGGAATAAAAGTAGCTACTTGGAGCTGTTGGCGCCAAGCAGGTGAAAGAAAAGTGTAAATGTGCGCTTAGAAGGCAAGGGCGAAGACGGCAGCGACGGCGACAGCGAGGACGCCGGACTGAGCCATCTGCTTGGCAGCACCGCTGGTAGGGACGGTAGGGGGGGCAGTGCCAGAGGGGCCAGAAGGGCCGGAGGGAACGTTGCCAGCAGGGCCGGTAGGCTGAGCACCAGTGCCAGAGGGAACCATGACAATGGTGGTGGGAACGCCGGTGCCAACGGGGTTGGTGCCAACAGCGGTGGCAGAGGTCGAGTTGGAGACGCTCCAGATGGGGGAGTAGGTGGTAGGGACGGCAGTGGAGGTCTCGACGGCAGAGGTGGTGACCTCAACAGGCGCGGTGGTGGCAGCGGCCTCAGAGGTGCTGGCGGCAGGGGTGCGGTAAGGGCAGTTGGTGACGCTCTCGGGGCACTGGGTGATGGTGTAGGTCATGGTGGTCGTGGCAGTCAGAGTCGAGGTGCTCTGAGCAGCGGCAACGGCAGCGCCGGCGGCAACGAGGAGGGTGGTGAACTGCATTTTGACGGTTGGGTGTGTTGAGACTGGACTCGTAAGGCTCGATATTCGGCTTGTAGATGTTGTAGAAGAGGGAGAGCAGTGGGCAAGAGAGCACCGGGCTTGTTATTTGAAGAGAGAGTGGGTTGCTTTGTGGGCTGTGTCGTCGAGACAAGAGGCTGAAAGAGTGTGGTGAGTGATGAACAGAGGAAGAGAAGATCCGAGAGAGCGCGAGGGGAACCGTTTCCCTTTTGTGTTGTTGCATCTGCAGGCCGGGAAATCTCTGACAGTTCCACCAGGGCGACGCCACGTAGGAGGGCGCTGGAGCCGGTCAGCCTGGCCTGGACATGGCGCAGACCATCGAGCGGCTTGTGGCCCGGCCTCGTGAGCTGGCGTCCAGGCACCGGTTGTGATTGGATGCCACCACGCAACAAAGACACGGCGGTGGATCGGGGGCCGGCATCTCACTGGCCATGGCGCGGTACCTTGCATAAATGGCCTCGCGGAAGGGCATCCTAGCAGCCCTGGACCCAATTGACCCTCCTTTCCGCTGAGCTATTCTTGCATCCGGCAGCCGGGATTGGCCATGTGCGTGTCGTCGAGATGCCTTGGATGGGCTTCGTCGCCAGGACTGGGCCGAAATGCAACCTCAGCAGCCCGGCTGTTCATTGGGCAGAGAGGACGTGTCGAGAGAAAGATTTTTCATCTTTGTTGCCCTCCTACTCGAGGCTTTTCTTTTCTCCCATCCAACGGCCCAAAGATCGGGCCACAGTGTGCATGGCTGCATCTGCCCTCACACATGATAATGCCTCACCCACTTTGCAGGTCGGTCGGTGCGTTTGCTGCAGTGATACTAGGTACCAAACGTACTGTACGAGTACAGAATACTGCTCCTAGTAGTAGCAGCATTTGGCCCCAGGTCGGTAGCCGTGGCCGGGGCATGCTGTGCGCGTTTCAAGCTCGCGCCGTCAACCAGGCCAGCCAGGGCCAGAGCAGCTCAGGGCGAAGAGCTCATTTCGTCTCCTAGCAAATCTTGATATTAGCTTTCCGTCGACCCCTGGTTCAGGACCGCTGCGGGCGCTTCAAACCCAAACAACGGCCAGCGCCAGACATACAGACAGAGCAAGGGGGCCAGGGCGAGATTGCATGTCTCCGAGCTGTTTCTCCTCTTCCGAATCTTGTCCCCCACAGGCAATTTAGAAGCATCGTGTCCCCCCGCTGACCGAGAACAAGGGCGATACCGTGCTGTGAGACGCTCGATGCCGGCTGTTGATACTGTGTTGGACAACGAGCAGCGGCTTCTGTGGCCTGTCGTTGGCTGATTCACGGACTTGGGTCGCTTGCATCGTCTGTCGAGCTTTTTGCCGGGGCAGAGCACTTGGGGCTAGCAGTGCCCAACGGCCAGCGCGCATCTAGACGCCACATGGCCGAGAATTTTTCGCTCTATTTTTCGTTCTTTTGTTCCTCCTTGTTTTGCGGTGGAGATGCAGCAGAGGCGATTGCTGAACCGAGCGCTTTTGGTGTGGCGACGCCATGATTCTCGCGGGTTCCATTTCTGGCTCTATTATTTGGCTCTAACCTGCCGGAGAAATGCGCCGAAACTCCGCGCTTGCTTAGTCACGCTTCAACGATCTCGCACAACTTGATGCCTCAGGCAGGAACCGACAGCCATCATCTCTGCAGTAATGGCTATCAAGGGCATCTCTTGTTTGCAGGATTGCCTTCTTGGGCAACACCAATCAGATCCAAAAGTCACGACACAAAACAAACAGGGCGATGCCCTCTGTTTGCACGAAACTGCTTGTCTGAGTCTTTGTCAACGTCTCAATTTCGGCCCAGCCGGTACTTCGTATCTATCTATGTACCCAATATCTACGCCCTTCCCTGCCACCAGCCCTTGTCTGTTGCTCCAGCCATCGATATCCGGTCGATTCGTGCGTCTCCCGCGCTTCAACGCCTGTCTCTCTTCACCAATAGCAGCGCCGCCCCTCTGGACCATCTCCCGTAGACTCAACAGCTGAAAGACATGCCCCGATCTGATGCTCCATCCCGCGCAGCCCCAGCCAGTAGTAATACGAGCCGCCAAATGAAGCTGCAATTTACAGCGCCCTTGCAGGCAAATGAAGGCCCGGCCTAGCGCCGCCCATCAAATGAGCGTGTGCCCGCTGAAGCTCGACCCCTTTTCTGCCCTGATTGCCCTGCGCCGGTGATTCTGCCGCTTCCTTACAGCGGTTCACAGGCCCTGCCGCCCCTGATTCAGCCACTGTCTAATAGCGACCCCGCCCCCACCGCTTTTGGGGGCAGCTTCTCCTGTTGATCCACAGCTGCGAGACAGCACAGACGGACAAGCTGCCAGACAAGCAACAGCAACAGCAACAGCAATACCCTCGCATCGCATAGCAATTCTCCCTTTGTTTCTTCTTCCCTCTCCCCTTTGCAAGCTCCTGGAACTCTGACTCTCCAGCGCCGCCGGTTGCGAAACGAGCAAGCAAGACTAGCTGATTCGCTTAAGCGTCTGTCTGTCTGTCTGTCTGTCCATCAGTCCCTCAGGCTGCCTGTTTCTGGTTGATTTGTTTGTTTGTTGTCCGTCTCTGTCTCCGTCTCTCTCTCCAGCGGAACCATGGCGACGTACTCGACCGATCCGGCGTTGTACATCTACACGTCTCTGACAGCGGGCTCGTCGCACATTGTCACTGCCACGTCGCGCCTCGAGACGATCCTGCGAGCGAACCGCGTGCCCTTCAAGGCCATCGACATCTCCACCGATGACAAGGCTCGCATGCTCTGGGGCCGCCGCGCCGGAAAGGACGAGAATGGCAGGGCGAGGAAGTTTCCCGCGCTGGTCCAGGAGGGCATCGTTCTGGGAGTGAGTCAAGCTTGTGTATCCAATTGCTGCCAGTCTGTCTAACCCAGGGGGGAACCAACCAGGACATTGTCGAGATCGAAGAGTGGAACGAGTACGGCGAGCTGAAGCAGCACATCAAGATCTACTACGATGAGACCACCATTCCCGACATCAACCACAAGTACCCGGAGCCGGTCAAGAAGAAGAAGACGGTCAAGAAGTCAGCCGCCGCCGCTGCTTCTGCCGCTGCCGAGGTGTCTGCTGCTGCTGCGGCTCCACCGCCGCCTCCCCCTGGCCCTGCTCCCGAGAACAAGGTTGGATCGAGCGCCGCGTCCATTAAATCGTCGTCAACTCCAAGGGCCAGCATCGACACCGTCCGGTCAGTCATGTCCGTTGCAGATGAGGCAGCGCAGAAGGCCAAGGAGCTTCGCCTGAACGCTCTGCGAAAGAAGGTGCACGGAGACAAGAAGGAGGAGCCAAAGGAAGAGGCGGCCAAGGTTGAGGAGACCAAGGCTGAGGAACCAAAGGCTGAAGAGACCAAGGAGCCGGAGGTGGAGCAGAAAGAGAAAACGGACAAGAAGGACAAGGAAGATGTCAAGGACGAGAAGGAGAACGACAAGGGGCTTGTCAAGGAAGACCAAAAGGCAGCGGATGACGCTCAAAAGGATGACGTCCTGGACGAGAAGCCCGTGAAGGAAGAGCCCGAACTTGAATCTGGGGTTAAGGAGGACGAAAACGAGTCTCATGATCACGAAAGCGAGCCCGAACATGAGGAACACGAAGAACTTGAGGAAGTCAAGGAAGAAGATGAAGAGGGCAGCAGCAACGAACGCAGTAATGATGACGATACCACCGACAACGACATTGATGAGAAGGCGGAGGCACACAAGGAAGACGAGACCGAGCAGACCGTCACCACGTCCCAGCCCGCCCCGGAGCCTTCCCCAGACGCCACGGCCAAGCCGGACGAGACGGGCGACAAGGAAAAGGGCAAGAAGTCCAGCGCCGAAAAGGGCAAAAAAAAAACTTCTTTTTCTTCTTCTGCTTCTAAAGAGGAAAAGCTCCGAGACAAGGATCAGGACAAGACAAAGCCCGCCTCGAAAACGTCAACCATCGCTTCGTCTGCCAAAAAGCCTGCCTCGTCTCTACCCTCGGCCAAGAAGCCAGCCGCCTCCTCATCTACTTCCTCCTCCTCCACCACCACCCGAAAGCCCTCATCTACATCCACAACCTCCTCAGCAGTAAGATCGACTTCAACCACAAGGGCTTCTAGCACGGCGAGGTCTACGTCTACGACAAGAACTCCCTCGACAGCGAGGTCCACCTCGACAACGAGAACCCCTTCTACGGCAAGGTCCACCTCAACAACAAGAACGCCTTCCACGGCAAGGTCTACCTCAACGACAAGAACGCCGTCCACAGCCAGATCTACCTCAACAACAAGGGCCCCATCAACAGCAAGGTCCACATCAACAACAAGAACCCCGTCAGCAGCGAGGTCAACGTCAACAACAAGAACCCCGTCAGCAGCGAGGTCAACGTCAACAACAAGAACTCCTTCAGTAGCGAGGTCCACATCAACAACAAGAACATCCACCGTCGCTCGGTCTTCGTCAGTAGCAACGCGGTCTTCGTCCACGGCGAGATCAAGCTCAACGACAAGGACACCCTCGTCGACAGCGAGATCCTCTTCAACCACGCGAAAGGTGTCTTCCTCTGCAACAACATCAGCAGCAGCACCGGCCTCGCCTTCGTTGACACGGAAACCTACTACCACTTCTTCTTCGTCGACGCGATCTTCGTCGACGACGCGGAAACCCGCTGCTTCTTCCACTTCAACAGCAACCTCGTCTGCCAAGAAACCCTCTAGCTCTTCCACGTCGCTCGCCTCAAGGCCAAAGGAGCAGACCAAGGACGGGACGTCAAGTACCGGTAAGTCTGATGAGGCGACTACGACATCGTCATCATCATGAGCGACTCCCTCTGCCAAGCCCAATTACTTGCTCGAATCAAGTAAGAGAGTCGTTCAAGTTTCTTTCGTCAACACGTGAATCTCCTTTTTTTTTTCCTTCTTTCTATCTTTTCTATCTGTGTTATGTCTAATGGCGGTCCCTGAAACTATGACGGGCAACGGAACGGGAAAGGAGAGCATTTCAACTTTTTTTTTTGTATGCTCACGTATATGTGTTTGTTGTACGATATCCAGGGTCTGTGGCCCGATCTTAATACCTTCTTCTCCCCCCCAAAAAAACCCCCTTATCCCTCCCTCTCTTTTCTATTTCTATCCTTGAGGGAAGAAGATTTTTTTACACCATTTCAGACGAGAAATATTCCTCGGCTTTTCTTTGATTTCCATCTCCATAGCATTTACAATGCAATGCAGGGAGCCTTACTGGCTAGACTATATTTTGACAATGTGTTAGTTGATGTGTGATGTTCTTCGAATGGTGTCAAGTCTAATTAGGAAGCGAGTTTGAATGAGATGTGCTTTTGGCGGCAACAAAATTAGAATGATGATGAAAGGGGTCATCTTTTGACGTGGTTGCTGGTCACATATTCTTTGGTGTCATTCAATCGAATTGTTGAAATTGTTCACTTGTGTTTTTCGTATATCGAAGCAAGTCACGATGCCCATTTTATACTCCATAAATGCCACCCATCCACCATTTACCCTCTGCAAATAAATCTCTTTTCCCTAGCTGTCTGTTTTTCTTTCTTCCCATTACATATGATATAGTCATTAAGATGACAAGGCAAGAGATCTTGATTTTGGGTAAAAAAGAAAGACATCACTCTGCCCATCCAAAGACCTCACACACCGCCAAGGTATTACTCCTCAGTCCCACGAGCGCAACCAAAACCCCCACGAGATCCATGACGACGAGCACCAGCGCAGCGAGCATGAACCGCGGACAAAACACCCGATAGAGCATCAAATGCCGCCTCAACCAGCCAGCCCAGCTCATCGTCGCCAGCGCCTCGACGGCGAAATACGCCACAAAGACGGCCAGCGCGCGCGCCGTCGTCTCGAGCAAGCCGCGCTGCTTGGGGCCGACCTTCCACAGCACGAGCAAGGGGACGCACGCGGCGGCGAGGATCTGGCCCGCGAAGGTGTTGAGGGCGACGACGAGCGGCGACCAGGGGTAGCGGATGGAGAAGAGCGGGATGAAGGCGCTGTCCCACTGGATGCTGGACAGGACGGCCTGGTGGCCCGTCTTGAAGAAGTAGAAGTTGCCGAGGACGGCGAGCATGACGGGGCCGATGGCCTCGCCGCGGAGCTGGTTGAGGTCGACGATCTCCGCGAGGCAGAGCACCTGCCACATCATGAGGGCGAGGGCGCCGGAGCCCATGGGCTTGGTGACGAGGATGCAGGCGGCGAGGAGGTTGAGCGGCAGGAACAGGTAGCGGGCGCCCATGGCGTTGCCGTAGCCCAGGATGGTGACGAGCTGGCCCGACTTGGCGGACGTGGAGAGGATGGAGATGTTGGGCGGGGCCCACGCGAACGAGGTCGAGCCGGCGATGAGGGAGAGGGCGAGGACGACCTGGGCGAGGTAGACGCCCGCGGACTTGAGGGTGCCCTCGGAGACCTTGTCGGCGAGCCAGCCGCCGTTGCTGGCGGCGTCAATGGTCCAGTAGAGGGCCGAGAGGAAGAGGCCGCCGCGGAAGAAGTATCCGATCCACGTCGGCGCGAGGCCCTCGTACGACTTGGACGGCATCAGGAACGCCCTGATGACGTCGGGCAGCACGATGAAGACGGCAAAGGGGATGACGAGCTGCCACGGCGCAGAGGTGGAGGACGTGACGGATGCGTAGTACGTCGAGGTGCAGTAGGGCATCTGCTCCTCGCGGCAGAGCTTCGAGTACGACGCCAGCCGCCCGATGACGATGAAGGTGACGGCGTGGTAGATGGCCATTGTGCGGTCCACCTTGGACTCGATGCGCAGCGAGGACACGAGTGCGGCGAGTCCAAACGTGGCGATGAAGAAGAGCAGGATGGAGTCCTCCCAGATGGTGTAACTGTTGGAGGCAAAGCCGATGGAGTGGCTCAGCGTAAGAAGAACAGACAGCCAGCCCCAGAACGTGCGAGGCAAGGCGTTGAGCAGCGTCTTGCCAGAGGTGGACAGCGCAGAGATGACGCCCGTAATCAGCAGCGTGACGACGAGGGCGGCGAGCCCATCCAGCGGCTGCTTGCGGTACAGCCCCACGGCGATCAAGACGCCAACGACGAACAGCACCCGCGCGTCCGCGAGTCCGCCCACGAGCTTCTGGTGGAAGTGCTGGTCCGGATGCACCTCCTCGTCCTCGTGCTTGAGGTTCATCAGCTCCAGCCGCCGTTCGGCGTAGTCGAGCTCGGCATCGTTGGCCACGACAAACTCGTCGTCTGCAGGCCTCGACGCGTACATGACCAGCATCACAAGGCCAACGGCGGTGACAAACACGCCCGCGACCATCCGCGGGACGTCAAACCGAGCCCACAGCCTCTTGTACACCTGGAGAGTCTCCATCTCAAACGCCGTCAGTGCATGGTAGGCGTCCTTGTCGCTCAGCCCAGCAGCATTGGCCAGCGTCCACAGAGCAGCAGGGGAGCCTGGCTCCTCCGTCTGCGAAATGCCGCGGGCCTTGAAGTACGACTGCCGGTATCTCTCAATCCCCGCGGCCGCAAGCCGCGAAACGGCGGCGAGGTTGGCCCAGTCGTTGCCCTTGCGGCCCGCAAAGGCCTCTTCGATGGGCTTGCCGAGGTTGTTGAACGGGATGGGGATGCCCAGCAGCAGCGCAAGGGTCGGCACCAGATCAATCTGGTTGACGGGTCGAATCTTGGCATTCGCCGGCGGAACAGCAAACTCGGGAGACGTCCTCCCGAAAAGAGGCCGCTTCGAGTACATCCACAGAGCGGCCTCGACCTCGTCGTCGCTCTCTCCCCCGTGATCCCCCTTTCCGTCCATGCCGTGGTCGCCCATGACAATCAGCAGCGTGTCGTCGTCGATGGATGCCGCCACCTTGGTGATGAACTCGTTCATCTGCTGCAGCTTGGCCGTCATGGCGGCGTGATCGGGGCCGTATCGATGTCCCGCATGGTCCACGCCCAAGCAGTGCCCGATCAGGAGATCCCACTGACCATCCCGAGACGTCTCCAGCAGCGGAAAGATGTTGTCAATGACGCCGTTGTCGACAGTGTGCAGGTCCCAGACGTTGAAGCTGTCGTACGCCTTGCTGATGTTGGCCTCGAAGTGGTCCGGAAACAGGGACCACCAGGTGTCGTCTCCCAGATGGGCAATCTTCTTCCCGGCATCCCGCAGCTGCATCAGCAGATTGTCCTCGTCAATGGCCGTCCCGGCAAAGTTGCTCCCGGCATCGATAAACGTCGGCAGCGTGCCCGTCGTCAGGCCCTTGAGCCGCTGCAGCGTCGTCGTCGGCGGATCCGCAATGAACGGCCGCAGGAAGGCATTCTGCGGCGCCTCGACGGCCGTGTCGTACAAGAAGGGCAGCGCATTGTGAAAGGCATGCGCCGTCGCCGGGTCCTCGGGAACGGTAAAGTCGTAGCGCAGCGCATCGATCAGAATCACCACGGCGCGGTCAAACTGCCGCGGATGCCAGCAGCCCCCGGCCACGTCCAGCGTCGCCCCCGACGACAACGACGACGACGCCTCGACCGGCGGCGCCGCGCAGCTCGACTTGTCCTCGAGCACCAGCCTCGTCAGCAGGAAGCCGCTGGCAAACAGCCAGATGCCCACGCCGTGCACCGCCAGCAGCCACGCCCAAAAGGCCGCCGTCCACCACCATCGCCGCTCGTACGCCCTTTTCCGGCGGGCGTTGAGCCGCTCGCGCTGGCGCTCGAGAATCTCCGTCTGCTCTTTCTCCGTCGGCAGGCCCTTCTCGATGGCCTCTGCGTCCCGGGCCTCGCGGGCTTCTCGGGCTGCTTTTGCCTTGGCGAACTGCTTTGCGATGGCCCTGTAGTCGAGGCCGTCGGCCGGCTTGGGGCTGCGCTGAGGCATGGCTGTGGTGTGCAATGGATGCCTCAATCCTCGCTTTTGGTTTCAATCTCTAGGCGCGAGGAGTCGCAGGCAAGATGCTGGCCATTGGCCGCCTCTTGGGGTTCCGCGCAGAAGGTGAATGGACAGCAGCAGCGGCGTGAGAAGTGAATGAAGCTGGAGAATAGTGGTGCAAAGGTACTAGAAGAATGGAGTAGTAAAGGGAGAGAGAGGTGGACAAAGGGGAAAGGCGCAGAGAAGAGAGAGTCGAGGAGGAAAAAGTTGGGCGACGGTGTTTCCCCAGCAGAGCCGCCTAGAGCGAAGCTGGTTGGCCTGTGCTATTAGTACATGTCCCGAGCTGTAGTGGAGCTGTGCCGAAGCCCGCGAACGACGGAGATGTGCGTGGTTAATCTCCTGCAAGAGGCCCAATTGAGTGTTGTAACGGCTTGTAGGACATCCGACAGAGCCGTGAATCTCGGTATTTGAGTCCTGGCAGGTTGCAGTGCGTTTAATCGCTGCAATTGACGCCTCAATGGCTTGAGATGTGTGTATGTAAAGGGCATTAGAGGGCATCGGCAGGCTTGCGATGACGTCCGCGGCACTTGTTCGGCTGATGACAAGATGCGCGATTCGGCAAGGCGTCGATTGGCGTGTTCCAACCTGAATCCCTTGAGAATTCAATACTACCTTAGGTACCTTAGTCTACAGGCAAGTGTCATTAACCCTTGATATAGGCTCACATTCTCTCAAGTCTACCTCAAAGTGGGAAACAAACGTAAAAAGGCATTCATTCATGTCACCATACAATAAACTCACACAAACCCTCCCAAATTTCCCTGCTCTCTCCTTTTCCTCTCCCATCCAGTCAAATGTACAATCCAGTCCATATACGCACGCAATATCCTCCATCTCCAACTCAAAACCAACTCTCGTCCTTCCTCCGTCATCCATCATCCATCATCCATCCATTTATTCATTGTCAGTCCGGGGAGAGAAACAAGAAAAAGAAAAAAGGAAATCAAGCAACAGACATTAAATCGTCCAGATGCAGCAAAATGTGCAGAGTTGTTTAGAATGCCATCCCCAAACGCCTCTAATAGAAAAGGAAAGGTATCCTACGACTCAAGCGCATATGCAGCATGCTTCCCACCGTGGAGGTAAAAAAAAAAGAAGAAGAAGAAGAAAGGGAAAAGCGTAAATCACGGAAACATCCTCCGACTTGCTCCTGTATGTACGTTGGTCGTCCACGGCTCGCACATCTACGTTGCTGAGCCAGCTAACATCACCGGGGACGCGCTTTAGGACACGCTTAAGGACACGGAAAACTTTCTCAAAATCCCCTCTCAGTGTCATCGTACGTATCCGTCGTGTACGTGTCCGTCGTGTACATGTCCGTCCCCGCCGGCCGGCTGCTGCTCGCCCGTCGTCGCTCCATCCGCCGCCTCCTCCTGTTGTCCGCGGCCGACTCGTTGCCCTTGTCGTCCTTAATCTCCGTGGGCGGTACGGTGGACGGTACCACGGGCGGCACGACCGGCGGCGCGGTTGGGCGTGTAGCTGCTGGCGCGCTGGGGATCTCCGTCGGAGGATCGCTCGGGCGATGGGTCATCTCGCTCCATGTACCGTGACTGCCGATGCTAGAGACAGAGGCGGTGGGCAGCGGCGCGTGCGGTGGCGCCAGGTGAGTCGACGGTCCCGGTTGAGCGGGCGGGACAGGCTGGGCAGGGTACGGCGGCGGCGCAGGCTGGCCCGAGTAGTATCCCGAATCCTTGCCGCGTCTGCCCTTGGCGAGCGATGCGCTGGGCGGCGAGAGCGGTCCCAGCCGGCTGTCTTCATCCTGCGCTCTGCTTTCCGCCCTGCTTTCGGCTGCCGACTCGGCCCTCCTCTGGCTATCATCCCGGCGGTACCGACGACTCTTGGTCGGTGACTCGGACAGACTGGATTGCGAGTCCATTCGGCCCCGGCGTGCCAAGGACTCCTCCTCGGTCAGCCGTCGCAGGGTAACGTTGCGGTCCTTGTCGTCGTGGCCCCTCGTCCTGGGGGCGCCCGTCGAGCTGCCAAACCGCGTCCGCTCTTGCGCTGCCAGGTTGCTGGCACGGGCAGCCGCTTCGGCCGCAGCTCTTTCGCTGTCCAACTGCCGCCGAGATGGGTTGCGTCCTGCGGGCCGGTCGACGATGGACGTCAAGTCGGAAGCACTGCCGTCGGACTGATGAAGAATGCCATGGGGATCCGAAGGCATAGCTGGCATCGACAGACGCTCACCGCGCCGGGGAGGGGGCGCATCGCCAGGGACCAACGCGGACGTGCTCGGCGGGACCCTCACAGCGGCACTCAGGGGCCCCTTTTTGGGCATGGCAGAGAGCTCCGTCTGCGTGTCAAACGTCGATTCCGTCGTGTCCGAGAACTCGGTGCCCGTAACGGTGCTGCGCCTCTGGGGCGGTGGGCGGCGCGAGTCCCTCCTGACGGGAGACGAGTACTCGGTGTTGCTGTACCTTGAGAACTGCGTGCCGGACCGCATCTCTTCCTCGTCCCTGAGCCGCTCGTCTTCCTCCTTTTTGGCACGCCTGTTGGCAATCTTCTTCGCAAGCCATCCAACTCCCAAAGTGGCAAGCACGCCCTTGGCAAACCCGCCGCTACCCCCAGCATCTTGCGTGCGTCGCGAAGGAGACACGTAGGACGAGTACTCGGAGTCGTCATATGCATCTCGTCTGGGTGCGTCACTGCGCACGTGCGAACGAGACGGAGACGACCGTCGGCCTCCATAGGCAGAAGCCGTCTGAGTAGGGGCCGGGGCGCGCGACGGCGGAATGGTAGACGCATCGTCGGTGTACTCGCTGTTGAACTCGCTGATTGTCGTAGCCCGCCCAGACCGGTTGCGGTGAGGTGTCTCGGTGGACACAGCCGAGTACTCTTCGTCACGTCGATCACGGCGGCTCATAAAGTTGGAAAAGAGCTTTCCAGCACCAAACGCTGCAGCCACGCCTCCCAATGCCTTGAGCATACCACCACCGCCTCCTCCCCCCCCCCCTCCGTCTCGCTGGGATGGAAGATCCGAGTACTTTTCCGAGAAGTAGCTTGGGCGTGATGAGACGACGGTCGGGCCTCGGCTTCGCATGGATGGAGACTGGCTACGAACGCGGCTGTGGTCATCCCGGTGGTCCTTGTTACGGCCTCTGGTCAGTGCAAACAAGCCTGCCGCGGCAGCCAGGGGCCCCAGCCACGCAAGCTTGGAATGAGAATGCTCCCTATGGTCAGAAAAGTACTCGGACTCGGTGATGCGCGTGTTGCCTGCCTCGGAGCGCACTTCCGACATGTAGTGCTCCCGACGGCCCTGCGACTGGTAGCTGAGGACAAAGTAGACAAGCAAAAGAAAGCCCATCCAGACAGCGTACAAGATGAAGAGCACCTTTGGCGATCCATACAAGGTGAGTCCGAGGGGTATCTGGACGATTCCGAGGATGGCCACGGCTCTTCCCAACCACTGGTGGAGCGTCACGCGCAGCGAGCGGAGTTTGGTGATGCGATGGACGATCCGACCCCCAATGAGCTGAACCATGAACATGACGAAGATGGCAACGCCAATCCCATGGTGCGGGTTCGACAGCGACCGCTTCGGTCCGACGGCGAAGAAGGGCAGGATAAAGGTGGCCAGCAGAAGCAGGCAGGCAAAGACGTGCAGCCGCGCATGGTATCGAATCGCATAGCCCGGCTCCCTCGAGTAGAACCTCGCAATCATGACGGAGAAGGGCACCAGGAAGAGAAAGACCATGGCGGCCATGATGCCGTGCGCCAGGATGATGGTATGGTACTGGTGCACGGTGGAGAAGCGGTTGCCCATTCCTGCGTCGAGATCTTGTTAGACATATGGCGCAGCGCAAATTTGACTCAGGATAAGTCGTATACTACGGATGTATGAAGGGACAAGAAGTAAGAAGGGAAAAGAAAAGGCCATCCGAACCATTGTATCGCGTGGTGTCAAAGTCGGTGCCCTGCAGGTTGGGCAGGAGGAAGGTGTTCTTGGTAAAGTCCCAGGTGCCGTCGCCCACGGTCATGGTGTCGGAATCATAGCTGACCGAACCAGGCGACGAGAGCTGGTCTGGCAGCGGCGCCATGGCGGCGACTGAACGACGACGACGACGAGGGGGAAGCTCGGCCGGATCAGATCAGGCAGAGAGGATGCGATCTGGGTTCTGCCAACCGCCCTGTGCTGTGCCCGCCGCTCGACGATCCCCTCCGCCGCGAGTCCCAGCCAGAGCTGCCGTGGTGTCCGTCCGAGGGCTGGCGCAGGAATGCCAGCGTCGTGCGATGGCGCCGCTCGAGGAATTGCCCGGTCGTCGGTAGGAATCCGCGCTGCAGGTCGTCAAGTGTGGGGAGGAGGAGGGCTGTCTGAGTCCGAGTCCGAGTCCGAGGCTGGCGATTGTCTGGATGCGACTCTGTGACACGCCGTATGTCATCTAAAATTCCGGATCGCGTGTAACCGACCGTAGATTGTCGAGGTAAAAAGTCCGCCCACGCAGAAGACAAGGCGTCGAAGAAGATGCCACAGCACAGGAAACAATCCCGTTCGCGGAAAGGAAAAAAACAATCCCCAGAAGAGGCTGGGGGGAAAGAGGATGAGGTACTACTACTAAGCGCGAGTAGTGGTCATAAACGACAATACTAGCAGATCGAATCGAGTGCCAAGTTGCTGCGGCTTTCAGGGATTCTTTTTCTTTAGCTGCAGCAAGGCACCGCTTTGGCTTGAACTGGCGGTTCCCCCCCAAATGGCACCGACGAGGAACAAGAAACATGGAAGCAACAACGGTTCCACAGTGCAAATCCGCCGTTGGCAGGGCGACGGGAGGCTTACCCCTGTAACCAGCCACCCGTGGACGAAGCAAAGCAACCTGAAAGCAAAGCAAAGCAAAGCACCGCCTCCTCCTCAGCCGCCAGAGATCTGGAGCACCCCGCTTTTCGGTCAGCTCGTGTGGAAGCCTCAACTCTTAGCTCGCCAGCCTCGTCACAGGTCTGTTTATTGACACGGTACGAGATGATATTGTTCAATCGGCGACATGTCTTCTTCCAAGAGGTTTGAGTACAGATCATACCTAGGTGTGCACATGACATTTACCGGCTTGCCCCGTACTCTACAAGTATATAGGTAAGTACCTACACTCACAATTGACGTCGGCAAGCGGATCCAATCGTGCAGCGTCACTGCGTCAGCCCTCCAGGACCCCTACCTACAGGTACCTAGGTTACAGGTACGAGGCACCTAAAAATACCTATCCAGACGCAGCCCAGGTCGTCCAGTGGCTTTTCTTCACCTTCTCCTTGCCCACAGAGGGGGAAAAAAAGAGCAGGGGAGCCCCGACTGTCTGGGTAAATGCTTGTGCCATGTAGTAATACCTACCTGAGGCATGCCAAAGAAGAAGCCGAGAAGCCTCAAGGTTCTGTTAGCTCGCTCGCTTGTGCCTGTCTGTCCATGCCTGAAGGGGTCTGCATGTGCATTCCCGCAGCTAAGGTACCTTTATAACCAGCGGTCCTCGTTCATCGGACACGCTACGAGCACAAGTAGTGCCCTCCAAGCCTGGTATCACTTCGTAGGCGGGATACCTAATGTTCAGGACATGTAATACCATTGACGGGTCATAGGTAGTATTACGGACAGGAGGATGAAAGCATATGCAAGATGGCTATCATTTGCTTCCCTGACCGCACCTTCTGCCATGCATTCTGCCTTCTTCACCTCATTCATCCCTTGGACAGGGGGTCCGAGAGGCGGTCTGCTATAGAACGACCCTGCCAACTCACCGATCGACTTTATTGAAAGGGGAATCAGATGTCAGCTATAAGTATATCTTTGCCACCTAACCCACTACCTATGCAAAGGGTTCCATGAAGCAGGATATGCTTCCTCAAAGACGGTTTCGCCTATAATTGTGCATCTCCTATTCCTACCTAGTCCGAGCCGACGCCTCACTCCTAGATCGACCTGTCCTACCCTACAACTTCCAAGTACATACAGATTTCTTACACACTAACACACATTTTGATTCAGTGATAGGTGGCGTCAATCTAATTATAAGCCTCTCCAAATGCTAGGTACCCAGTGTTCGTAGACATATTTTTCATGGTGACGCATTCTGTGGTTTGCTTCGCAGGGAGTTTGGTAGGTGTGGCGCATCATCACACTTCGAGCTCTCTGACACGACAGATGGACAGACTTCAGGCATTCGCCAGAATTTGCTCATGGCTCATGAAATAAACTCAAACGCATCCAGAATATTCAAACACGCCAATGCCCAGCCGTCGTACTTTGGCCTCATTACATCATGGTACGTAACATGACTTCAAACTTCTCCGATGCAGACTCGCCCAGCCAACTCCAGATAGGCGTCTCGCATCTCCCCATATGTGGAATTACGCCCTACACCTTTCAATCACATCTCCGTTTCTAAACCTACATACACCAATAGCCTCACCATATTTACACCGTCACACATCCTCATGAGACGGTGCAAGAGCCCTCTACCCCATCAAGTTGGACGGCGACATGCTGTCAAAGTTGGCAATGATGGACTCGTCGGCGGCCATGCTGTTAATGACGTCCTCTTGGGTGAAGCCGAGCCAGTATTGCGGGTTCTTTTGCTGCTCCTTCTTGATGTGATAAATTTCCTGGGCCACCCCCTTGACCTGCCCCCGTGCCCGGTCTGCGGCACCCCAGACGCTGGACAGCTCGTTGAGGGCGCCAATGTTGAGCCGAATCTGCTGTCTCAGGTCGTCGTCGTCGTGCTGAATGAAGAAGAGGGCCCACTTGTTGAGATGCACAATGGAGGAGAGGGTGATGACGCAGGTGAAGAAGTGGGTGTGAGAGAGCAACGGGACTCGGTGTGTGATGAGCTTGCTGATTCCGTTTGCCGAGGTAATCGTGTGCTTTGTGTGCTTGTTGAAGAGGTCTCCGGCCGGGACCAGCTGGTACGGCGCACAAGAGGTGACTTTCTGAGCGGGCGACGAGTCGAGCTGAGAGTGAGGCTGATGAAGGAGGATGGACGTGGCATACATCATCATGTGCGCCTGGAACATCATCTCGTCGAGTTGACCGTTGGCCTGCAGCGAGTCCTTCTTGTCCTCTGGCAAGTGGAGCCGCCAGTTGGTGAGCAGATTCTCAATCCGCCCAAGGTTTTCGTCCTCTGGGCCGTATATCGGGGGAGTTCTCATGAATCTTCCCAGATTGCGGCCACACAGGATGCGATACGCAAAGGAGGAGAACCGGCGTTCATCACCAGAAAAGTCTCGGTCCTCCAACTCTTCCAATGTCATGGGCGGCGGTATGTGCTACACAGACATGGTAAGTAAGACATGCATTTCTACTGACGAGGGGGGAAGAAAAGAACGCGGCTGTAAACTTACCCCGGACAAATACTGGTGCTCCTCACAGGGCAGGCTGACGTCGGCAGGCACATCGTAAAGCATGAAGTTGGTCATTCGGTGGACGCCGGCAATCATGCCGTCGATGATGAAGAGATCCCACCACGTTCGCCGCCAGCTCTCCTCCAACACCGGGTTCCCTCGTCCGTTGAGAGTTGCGAAATGCGACTTGTTGAGGCCGATCTGGAGGGCCAGCGTCTCGGTCCGGCCCAGCAGCTCGGCGGCCTTGTCGTTTTGACAAGAGCCATCCAGCGCAACAATGGCCAGCATCATGGCCTGGACCTTGAAGCCGTCCTGCGGCTGGGTCAGGTCGTCGAGGAGGCGCATGGCGTCATCGTACAGGCTCGGGCGCGCCTTGCCGACATCGATAAAGAGCGATCCAACCCATCGGATGACGGCCATGAGTGGGTCAATGGGGTTCTCGCTGGCGAAGCGAAGCAGATGCTCCTTGGGGAGCACAAAGGGGTGTGATCCATGAAAGTAGCGGTAGAAGGAGTCGACACATCGCTCGTGGAGCGTCTGCATGGGAAAGTGAGTGGGGAAGGGGAGGTGGGCACCCGTCACCAGACTGGCGGGCTCAATGCCGTTGATGCTGCAATACGACCGGTACAGCTGTGCCTGCGTGGCGGCAGGGGTGGTGGTCTGGAAGGGCGTCGTCGCCGGGGAAGTCTCGGGCAGCAGGCCGGTAGGGCTGAAGTTGTGGATGGTCATGGGCGTCGAGGCCATTGGCACGGGCACGGGCACCTGCATGCCGCTGGAGACGCCGGCGCCCAGCAGCATGGGACACTCCGAGGGGGGCAGGCTGATGGAGTCCGTGTCCGGAGGAGACGTGGCATGGCGTTTGTTTGGGTTCTGCGCGGTGCCGCGGCGAGGGCCCTTGTAGCCGCGTCGAGACGCTACGTAGATGCATTCGAAGTTGGAGCCGATGCAGCGAGAGCACGGCGTCTGGCCATCGCACTTGAGATGTTTGCTCCGCTGAAGGCAGGCTTCTGGTTAGCGAGAGGTTGCTCATCATGTCCATGCGCGCAGCGGAGAGTGGAAATAGTATCGGGATGCTAGGATTCGCAGAGCAACAGGTCTTGGACGAGCATCAATGACAGCATCAATCAGTCCAGTGCTTAAGGACCCGATTCCCATTTTCCCGTCTTTTCCTCCTTCTTTTTTCCTTTGCTTTTTTTCCGTCGTGATACCCCATCTCAATCTCAAGTGTGGAATGCATGTCTTGCTGCTGCTGCTGCTGCTGCTGCTGCTGGGTTGCATTGACGACTCGTGCTTCAAGCGAGGTCGGCGACGTCGGGGAAGAAAAGAGGCCATAACAATCAACTGCACGATCAGACTTACGCAGGCCAAGCACGCCGCTGGCACGGCGGTTTCGCGCGATCGACCATCGCTGTCGTCCTTGACATCGGCCGGCTTGCTGGCTGGGTCTTCCGGGCTCCTGCTCGTGGCTGGCAGGCCCGCGGCGGCCACGTCGGCGACCGCCAGAGGCATTCGGCCTCCATTCGTCGGGGAAATCGGCGACTGCGATGCAGACGACGAGGAGTCAGGAGGCGACAGGGTCCCGGCGGGTGGCTGCGGCACGCCTGAGCCGTGGGCCATCATGGCGGTGCTTGGGTATAGTATAAAGAGGAGGCGGCGGGACGATGGGCAAGCGATGAACGAAGAAAAGAAATCGCGTCTGCTGGGAGAGGACAGAAGAGCAACGAGCAACAGAGAAGAGGCAGCGCAAGAAAGTGATTTGAAGAAGAGCGAGAACGAGGTCCCTGTTCGCAGTGAGGCTTGCTTGCCTGCTTTGTCAGGGGACGAGGTTCGCTGCTCGCTGTCACCCGGGTGGGGAAGTTTTATGGATGGTTCAGCGGTTCAGCGGCATACATGTAGCCTGGAGGTCAACTGCAGTCCAGGGACTCCTGGCCCTGCAACTCCGCAGTAGCCAGTACCAGCACCTCAATGTCGCTTTTGGTTGCTATCGATGCGACCAAGGTACATGCACCTACTATATGAATTTGAGCAACTTGCACGGACGTTGGAGTGCTGCTTTGCTCGTTCGAGTCCGGACCTCCCGGGCGAGCCAGTCAGGCTGTAGCCTTGCTGGTTTCTGTAGTGTTTTCTTTTCCTCCCTGGCTGGTAGCAGTGGCCAGATGTTGGACACCCGACGGAATAGACACGAAGGGGACGGTGATAGTATTGAACCTGAGAATCCACTCGATGTGGACGACATGGAGGGCCATGGACTGAAGTAGAGGGTACCAGGAGCGATTGCGCAAGAGGTACCTGAGACATTGCACCGGTGACGGGCTCCCTGCTCTTCTGGACCGGTCAACTGCTGTTGGATCCGATAGTACTACATGTATTGGATCTCAACCAATGCAAGCCCAGCCACAAGCATCCATGCATGCCCTGTGCAAGTACCTATAGTCAAAATAACCTGAAGCCTCACCGTCAGCCTCAAGCCCAGTTGCCAATATCTACTCACGGAGAGGCCGCCTTGTCGGCTCTGCATCATACCTCGTCAAGCCCGTGTCACCAGACAGCCCGCAGATGGCAGAAGCAGACGTGCAGCAGAGCATCTAGCCTACGGGCCGGTATTACCTTGATGTAAGACAGCTAGAGCCCGGGAGCACCCAGCCCAGGGTGCAGCTGCGTGTTGGCCCCAGCTCCATCCATCCATCCATCCATCAATCAATCAATCAATCAATTTGATGGCTGAATCTTAGCCCTGGGGGGGGGGGTCTCGATTAGCGGCTGTAAGGGGGCCTGATGCAAGTCCTGCCGGTGGTTGGCCGCCCATCGGAGCGCTCTCCGCATCGCGACTCCGCCTGTGAGAACGCTGATGAAGCTGAACTTGGGCGCCTGTCAGATGCTAGTTGGAGCGCCACGGGCTAAGAGCAAGACCCAGACCTGATCCTCGAAAGATCAAGAAAGATGAGTGTGGGAAGCGAAATTGGCCCGTCGGCGAGATGCGAGATGCTGCGACTAAGACGTCGGTGAGACGAGGCCAAGGCGTGAGACGGCTGGGCACACAAGGCAAAAGGCGGGAGACAAGACGGCAGTGGCCATCAGAATGTCATCCGAGCGAGTTCCATGCTGGCCTGTGAGGATAGTATCGCCTTGTTTCAGCCGCAGTTGAAACAGCCACCCAACGCATCCATTCCTTCTTGTGATACTACTACAGACAGCACAGCCTGCGGTTAGCCAGATGACGAGCACACCATCGCCTTGCCCTGCTGTTTGCCGCAGGCCTGCAGGTACATAAAGTGACGGGACGGGACAGGTCTAGATGCGATCGAATCTTCGTGATGAACAGGTCCATGTCCATACGACTCGGAACGTCTATCAACGGAAGATGATGATATCGGCCACAAGCCTCACCGCTACCCAGCATCAATAATTCAGCATCCCCTCCGCCAACTCACGATCAAGTAGACAACGGCGGGATGCTATCCGGCGGAAGCGGGAGGGCTCATCGCGCACTGAATCATTCACTTGGAGACGACTCAGTATTACTGCAGTTGAATCGAGGCTACGGCCAATATCCGCTCAGTCCCGGCTGCAGGGCGACAAGAGCAGTCCAGTCCCGAACAGGTCCATGCATGAGGCCTTTGACCGTTGACCAAGTGAGACAAGCAGCAACATTGTTTTCAAGAGGCTACTACTACTAGTAATTCAATCTCGCGAAGCCGAGATTTAGTCCCAGAACAACTCGAAGCCACCGTTTCTAATCAAGCCAATGACGAGCTTGTCTCGCTGTCTCACTCTGCTTGCTCATAAGCTTGTGTAACTCATTAAACGCCGAGACGCGAGCGCCACAAAGTTGAGAGGGGAGAGATGCTGAATCGTTACGATAATAACTTGATGACCTGTCTTTTTTTTTTCTTTTTTTTCTTTTTTTTGTTCGATTCCCGTCTGCAAGGGGGAAGTATCAAATGCTAGCTCAATGCTCTGGACCGCCACCTTTCTTCGGGTCATCACTTCTCACATTCACACATTTACACAACTGCTTACATCTATCGCATCCCTTGGCAGAGACAAAGTACACGAAGCCAGTATACTTGGACTATTTCATCCCGCCACATGAAAAGAGGCATTATGACATCGTACAAGCATTTGCCTCCATGTACCAGTACGAGGAACCAGCATCAACACCATCAAAATCAAAACCCCCCCTGTCCCCGTCCGTCTGCCGTCCGTCGGCTCGGTCCAGTCCACGATCCCCCCCCCCAAGCCCGCTCGCATCCTCCCCCACTCCCAATCTCGATGGCAATTCGCTACGACTAGTAGTTCCGACCCAGCCCTCGTCGCACAAACACTGGATGCAACATGACTGAATCGTACCAAATAATACTATGGAGTGATACTAGCATGAGAGACGTGATACTATGTACCTGTTCCTGTAGCAGCAGCTGCTTACATGTTGCTTGGGCTTCCACACCAACCCTCGTTATCACCACCCAACAAGCTCGGTCGAATAATCCCCTCCGCAGCATCACGGATTGATAGGGGAGACGCAAAAAAACCGGCCAGGAGATTTCAAATGGATCCCGTCTCCCTGGCTGGCCTGGCTCTTGGCGTTGCATCCTTGGGCCTGCAGGTCTACACCGGCTGTATCCAAGGCATGTGCTTGGCCACCACCTCCTAGACCTTGATCCTATGATTGCCTTGTTCTTCCATCACCTTTCTTGATCTTCATGGTACTAGTATCTCTCGTGTGTTAACTTCTGCGGCATCGGCACCCCTGCACAAAAAAAGGCATCCAGCTCCTCGTCACAGCCCTCGGCTACGAAGACGACTGCAAATACCTCAACCTGCGCCTCCGCCTCGAGCAGCAGCGCCTCTATGCCTGGAGCGAGACATCCGGTCTGCTCGACGTCAACACGGAGAACCAGGACCGCATCCTCAACTCAAACGTCTTCAACCTCCACCGGCAGACGGTGCTCGACCTGCTGGTCCAGGTCCAATGTCTGTTTGACGAGTTCCTCGAGTACCAGGGCAAGCACAGCAATCTCACTCCCGTTCGCGACAATGGCGATTTCCTCGTCTCGCCCGAGCAGGACGCCAAGCAGGCCAGCTTTCCCATGTCAGAGAGGAAGAGGCTGTTTATCAAAAAGGCCATGATGAGCCTCAGGCAAAAGTCGCAAGAGGGCCTCAAGAGGCTCAAGTGGGTTTCCTTTGACAAGGAAGGATTCGAGCATCTGCTCTCCAAGTTCACCGTCCTAAACGACAGCATGATGAACATCATGGACCACTCGCTGCAGGTGGAGATCCGGCACACGGTGCAGGATACGAATCGCGGCGTGTTGCTGCTTCACCACAAGATCGCTGACTTGAGCCACCTCGTGCTGGCCCTCAAGGCCCAGCTGGAAGTTCGGGATGTCGGTGCGCCGACGCGCATGAGAATGTCACAGGCCGAGAGGGAAGCGAGCGTGGCCGAGCTGAAGCAGCTTTCCAGACTGGCCAAGTTCAAGGCCTTCAACGAGACCATCGATCCCAAGTCAGATGCTCCCGCCGTGATTGATGACGCCGTGGCGGCCTTTCTCGAGCTTGCCCAGCCGGGAGACACTCGCCATGTCCAGATTCCCAAGTATCTTATAGAATTGAACCCCAACGTGGATGACTCGGATGACCCGCGGTGCGAGGCTGTGCTGAAGACTGCCGAGGGAAAGAAAAAGGTCTGGATCGAGTGGAAAGACTACGACACTGCGGGAACCCCCGGCTGCCTGTCCAAACAGGACATTGTCGACAGAGTGCGCAAGCTGGCGTGTCTGCTCAACCACAAGCCCAAGCCGGAGGCCTTCCGAACGCCTCACTGCATCGGCTTCTTTGACAAGGCGGATCCAGACGTTCCCGAAGACGACGTCGACATCCTCGACCGACGGCTGGGCCTGATATTCGAGCGCCCAGAAGGCGACGACGTGCACGACAGCCTCCCTCCCGTGTCGCTGCGAGAGCTGCTCCTCGACAAGTCCGTCCGCAAGCCCAGGGTGACGGACCGGGTCAAGCTCGCGCACGCCCTGAGCAACTGCCTGCTGCATCTCCACGCCGTCAACTGGCTGCACAAGGGGCTCCGCAGCCACAACGTCCTCTTCTTCCGATCAAAGGCCGGCCACGTGGACTACGCCCAGGTCTACCTCTCCGGCTTTGACTTTTCCCGCCCTGTGGGCTCCGACGAAGTCACGGAAATTCCCGGCTATGATGCCGAACTGGACCTCTACCGGCATCCTAGAGCGCAGTCCAACCAAGGTAAGACGCGGGAACGATCAAAGAAGAGCTTCGATATATATAGCTTGGGCGTCATCCTGGTGGAGCTGGCGCACTGGAAGCCCGTGGAGGCGGTGCTTGGGATCGAGATGAGGCTGGCCAAGGGGCAGTCGGACGTGGTTCGGCACGTGAGGCGGGATCTGCTCGAGGAGGAAAGGATGGCAGATGTGGGCGGGGAGATGGGGATGAGGTTTGAGGGGGCGGCGAGGAGGTGCTTGATGGGGGAGGGGGAGCTGGGGCTGGGGGCTGAGGATGATGATGAGACGGGGGATGAGGTTGCGGAGAGGTTGTCGGAGCGGTATTATGAGGATGTGGTGAAGGAGCTGGCGGCGATTGTGGTGTAGCCGTGATGGATGTCACAAAGTCTCGTTATATAAGGTACGGAGACACCGGTACAGATGGCACTGGACGGGACTGAAAACGAAGATATGTTTGTTTGTGTGAAAGCCATGGGTATTATTCTATTCATCGAGGCTGAACAGTTTGGGATATCATATCGTGAAATGACCAACACGCCGTCTTATGAGCTCGCTCATGGAATCATTACGCTCCCACTCCTCCTCCATATATGGTTATGGTATCTCGGTGTCAGGCGACCCGTACCGTTTAGCAAAAGAGGCATTCGCAGCAGTCCTCGGTGCACTCGCAGCACTCGAAGCAGGCCAGGCCAGCGCAGATGCCGCAGCAGATGGCCTACAAGTACACATCAAGATTTGTCAGATATCCACCTTTGACTTTGAATTGCATAGAGAGATTGGGTTGTTGATTGTGGGAGATGGAACTGGACTTACACCCTTCTCGCCCTCTCCGCCACGCATGTTAGCGGTCGTGTCCATGCTCATGGGCTCGACGGGGCGCTGCGACGAAACCAGCAAATGTCAGTAACTCGGTTCAATTCCTCAATGCCATGTAAATAAAATTCTCTGGACTGGAACTGGAGAGTCGCAGCGATTCTTTCGTCTGATATTCGAGCTAAAGGGTCGAAGAGAATGAGGTGTAATATCGGCCAAGACGTACCGGCTGGTCGGAGCTGATTCGGGCAGGGGCCTCGGCAGTCATTTGCTGGGCAACAACCTGGGGCTGAGGAGACGACATTGTGGCTGAATGTGTTGATTTGTCTTGATTTGAAGAAAACGAGAGTGTTTTTGAGAAAACGATGGTATAATAGCTGTAGGATACTCAAGAGAAAGAGGATGAGTACTTGTAGACTGGAGAGACGGGGAGGAGGGAGGAGGGGGGGCTGGGGGACTCTTTTAAAGCAAGCAGACTATCTCATGAGCAGTTTAGATGCGCGCAACACACATCAGACGCAAACCAGGGGCGGCGCAGCATCAGCTCATTTCTCTATGTACATACAAAGTGTTGTTAACTAGGTAGTACGTATGGGGAACAAGTTGACAGGCAAAGTCGATAATGATGCGCACGCCCACCAAGGCGATGCCCAAAGCGAACATTGCCATCCATCAATTCCACACGCTTCTTCCGGCTCCAGTTTCCCTTGCGGCGATGCATCGAGTGCTTCCCCATCTCGCCTAGCCAGCGAGGAACACGAAACATTTGATGGGAAGAAGAAGAAGGTACTAGACGCTACTGATACTCCCAAGCAGCCGAATGATGGCTACTTGTCGCTACTACAGACAGTAGTATTCCCATGACATGGAACTCGGGGTGGGCCATTTTGCTGCAGCAGAGGTTTGGATGACATGGGCGGTTTGCACGGCACGAATGAGCCGAGCGGTGCTTAGCATGGGGGTTGCTCATTGGTGGAGGAGGAGAAGAAGAGGTCGGAGGATTTTGGGGCTATCGCTGTAATATTATTGCAGGAGGATGGCAGATGCATTCAACGGCGTCTACAGTAAGGTGTTGATCCATGGAACGGAGATGATCTTAGGGCGTTGAGCTCTTGTCTTTGCGGCCTCCCATGGGGGTTTCGGATTGTGGTGTCTTGACATGGTTCTGGTTGGGCATCTCCTCCTCAGTCTGTGCGCCAATCTCTCTGGGAGTTGTTTATAGTAGGCACATAGGAAGAATCGTGTTTTATCACGTCCACTGTCGGGATTATTACCCCATCTCATGGCGAGTCAAGGGCAGCCCTGTGCCTTGCGAGGCCTTGTCCAATTGTAGACGATGCTGCAGACACATACAAGGTCGCAGGAAGAGGGATCTGATGTTACATAGCAACAGCCACGCGCCCTCGATAGAGAGAGATATGCAGCAGGGAGTAAGAAGTGATACCAATTTCCATCCAATCTTTAAGCCGTCAAGATGCAAGCTGGCTGAGTTGCAGTACAAGCAGATGCTCGTCCCTGATGCTTCCCAAACATCCACACCAGAGCGTTGACTTCGATTTTACTACTAGGTCATACTCGTACATACAACAGTGACATTGGAATCCGACAGAAAGTCATAGCTCTTCATAGTGTTTCGAGAACAAAGAAGAGAAAAGACGCAGCTCAGGCAGAGGAACGGGGTCCCCAGTAATACGGGTCCATCGAAATAGTGGCTGTTCACGGCATCTCGGCAAATGGTCCCTGAAAACGCCGTTGCCGCGTCTCACCTGTAGTCAGTCGCCTTTTGACGTGTAGTACCTACATGTAAGGTAAGCACTGTCAATACTGTTTATACATAACCGTAAGTTTGGGAGATGAAACAAGAGACATGAAAGAGGTCAATGCATTCGTATGGCTCAACGTCAGAGAGCGGATAAGGCTGGAAAAAAGGAGTATTAATAGGTATTCGCCAGCCTTGAAGGCGTGAAGGCGGTTCGCACATGTAGGGTACCTTACCGTACCTTCGGTGTACATGGCCAGTCCGATGCGTGCGGTGCCTGAATATCATGCAGTTCTTGCGTTACTTTGCGTCGATTCCAAGAGATGTAGTTGTCGTTGCTTGCGAGATCTATCAAGTGAAGCGACAGCAGCAGCAGCAGCAGCAGCGGGGGTCGACATCTGATCTGCTCTCTCTTGAGTTTGCAAGCTCGTTGTTGCTGCTGTGATACACGAGACAAGTGTGCAGCTCAACCAGCCTTTCTCACCACAATCTCGAACCAGAGTCGGCGCACTCCAAGCCCCTGTGCCTATCGATAGGGCCCCCAGTTACCTTCAGGTTATGATTCTTGTCGAGACATGGCCAGCCGTGCTCTAACTCGGCCATTTCCCATGCTCAACAAACAGCCTTATGCTCATGCCTCGCTCCGACTGCTTGTCCTTGTCCGACCCCATCGTGCCATCTCGATGCGTCGGATCTAGTTCTATAAAAAGCCGCACCTAACTGTTAGTACTAGATCGCCATCGTGACCTGAAGGCTCCATGACATCTCTGTACAAAGGCAGACACGCATCCAAGGACCCTGATCACGCGGGCGGGTCAGTCGATGCTCGCTGGCCCAGCTGTCGCATTACAGACAGGCACCAATCCATCATCCCAATGACAACCTGAACGACATCCCCCAGCGTCTGCGTCTTGGGTTTGCTGAGCTGGAGCAGAAAACGGTTTTTGATGCCTAATCTTGAGCTGGCGGATCCATGACGTCCTGGCCCAGGCAGCGAGATTAGCCGACAATGGCCCGATCGCATTTCGACGCCAGTCCAGCCTCCAGGGGGTCGCTAAACCAACTGCTGTCGATTTAGTCTCAGCGAGGCTGGCGATTGATTCTAGTACCTCAGGCAGGCCGCAGTCTGTATCCTCGACCCCGTCTTCACCCTCCAGGGCCCAGCGTCGTCTGCCGACCACACGCACGACACCGACGCAACCATCACGGCCTGAGCGGCTCCCGACTCCCAGGCACCCGCAGCCGAGCACCCGCCGCGCCTGGCCCCCGATTGCTCGCCCGCCAATGTCTCCATCCTGAACGCATCTGGCGGTATCATCACCATCTCCCGCGAGCGCGCCCCTCCGCCCCCTGCTGGTACGTCACCGCCGTCGAGGCCCCTTCGCCCTCTCCCTTGCTGCCCGCAAGGCTGGCCGTTGCTGTACCTGTACGACGCACACTCGCTCTCGTTCCTCAGCCTCGACGACACGACGCCCAGCCATGGCTTCGTACGGCCACCGGATGCCCCAGCAGCCTCACCACGGCCACCCGCACGCGGGCTATGCCGCCTCGCAGCCGCCGGCTCCTGGGCCCCCGGCCGGCACCTTCGCCCCGGGCACCAAGATCCAGGTCGGCAACCACCGCGTGCAGATCCAGAAATACCTGTCCGAGGGCGGCTTCGCGCACGTCTACCTGGTCAAGCTGCCCAAGCCCGTCGACGGCACCGACCTGGCCGTGCTCAAGCGAGTCGCCGTGCCCGATAAGGAGGCCCTGCGGGGCATGCGCACCGAGGTCGAGACCATGAAGCGCCTCAAGGGGCACCAGGCCATTGTCACCTACATCGACTCCCATGCCTCCGAGCTCAAGGGCGGCGGCTACGAGGTCTTCTTGCTCATGGAGTTTTGCGACGGCGGCGGCCTCATCGACTTTATGAACACCCGCCTGCAGCACCGCCTGACCGAGCCCGAGATCATCAACATCTTTGCCGACATCGCCGAGGGCGTTGCCTGCATGCACTACCTCAAGCCGCCGCTGCTGCACCGCGACCTCAAGGTCGAAAACGTCCTCATCACAAACACGCCCAAGGGCAAGCGCTTCAAGCTGTGCGACTTTGGCTCTGCTGCTCCTCCCCGGGCGGCCCCCCTGACCGTCGTCGACTGCCGCTTGATGGATGAGGATGTCCAGAAGCACACCACGCTGCAGTACAGGAGCCCCGAAATGGTCGACGTCTACCGCAAACAGCCAATCAATGAAAAGTCGGACATTTGGGCGCTGGGCGTGTTGCTGTACAAGCTTTGCTACTATACAACCCCTTTTGAGGATCAAGGGCAGCTGGCCATATTGAACGCAAGCTTCAGATATCCCAGCTATCCCGTCTTCTCAGACAGGCTAAAGAAACTCATTGGTATGACATTGCGTGCAGCATATTATGCCCCGATAATCACTGACTGTGAATAGCTTCAATGCTCAGGGAGAATATGCAACTGAGACCCAACATATACCAGGTCCTCAAGGAGGCTTGTGCCATGCAAGGCCGAGATCCGCCTATTCATGATGTTCGTGGTTTTTGTTCCTTTCATCTTCTGTGCTATAGCGCAAACTAACAGCTTCACATAGATTTATTCTGGACGAGCGAGCGACGAATCGAGAACGAGCCAACATACCTCCGCCACCGATGCAGCGGCGAAGGCGCCCATGGTCGGCGCCGTCTTCGCAGCACCCACTAGAGAGCAACAAACGCTGCCGGACATTACACCCATGAGAAGAGGCCGTCCGATCCCCTCGCCATCCCGCACGCCTGTTCCGGGCAAGGTCACCGATGGCGATCCATTCGCTGCTTTAGACTCTAAAAGCATTGCTGCTGCGAGCGCTACCACCACCGTCCGACAGCCCGAGCCTGATGAGCTCTCTTCTAGGTTCCCACGACTGGACGAATTTGCCCTGCTTCATGAGCAAAAGACTTTCAACTTTGACTCCACCCCAGCTTCGCCTCGACCGCAAAAGGACATGAGCACAAAGATTGCCGAGCGATTGGCCGACGAGGCATTCGCATCTTCGAGAAGCCCTGCGCCTTCAACACCCGCTCCGAGACCGCACTCCGTTGCGCCCATCTCGTCGCGCCCTCCGCCTGAGGTTCCGCCGCCCACGCTGGAGACCAAACTTCATCCAAGACTGGTGCCCTCGTCTACGGCCCAATCTGGAATCAGCCGAGCGCAATCCATCATCACGAGCAACCCGGAGCTCAAGGCTATTGCGAACAAGACGGCGACCTCTTCATATGTTTCTACAGGGACGATGACGGAGCTCTCTCCCGACAAGGAACGGCCGTCAGACGCGGAGACAAGCAGACGCTCCTTTGAGGTGGAAACCCCTCGCGCACCTGCTCCTCGTACCGCGGCCCTCACTGGACAAAACACCGCCAAGCGACTTTCTGGCGGCAACTGGGCATCAGCAAACACACGATCCTCGTCTGTCCAGCCGCGGGTGAGCCAGAGCACGGTCGCCTCATCCAGGACGTCGCTTGACATCCTCAGCTCTCAAGAAGATCTGATTGAATTGCGGTCTGCTGCTGGCGATGCTGGCGGTAAGCAGCGGCCTCTCAGCTCCACGTTTGAGCCCAGCACGCTGGAATACCTGCGCGAGAGGGAAAACGCGTCAAAGCCTTCTTCTCGCCAGTCTTCCGTGACGCGACACTCTTCGTGGCATCTGCCCCTGTCACATTCCAACACCGGCCGCAACGACGGCGGATCGAGTTCCAAGGACCAGCGTAGCTCTGGTGGCGCCGACGCCCAGGACGATCAAGACCGCCCCGGGCAGCGTTCCGAGGCGACTTCCTCAACCTCCAAGAACTTGCTTGCAAGCAAGTTTGGTGGTGCGTTCAAGAGATTCGAGAACAACGCCTCATCAGACAACGAGCTAGAAGTGAAATCTTCGTCGCCCGGCAAAGAGCAGGGGCGTCGTGCGCTGACGCCCATCCAGGGGTCTGAGGCGGCAGACGACCGGAGCGACTCGGATGACGAAGGGCGACACATGACGGCCGAGATGCGTCGCGAGATGGAGCGTCGCCAGCTGGAAGAAGAAGAAGCTCGAGTGGAGGCTGCGCAAGCAGAATATCGAAGACGGGTTGCCGAGGGCGGCTCGCCCTCCAAAGCTCGTCCCCCCACCGCACCAAAGCCCATGGGGGCGGCACGAGCGGCCAGTATCCAGAACAGGGTTCAGAGCCTGCTCTCCGAGGAACAAAAGCCGGCACACGTTCCGCGGACAGCCCACGGATATGGCAAGTACACCGATTCTGAGCCAGCGCCAGGCGAGACGGACAAGAACCGCCCCGAGGTGAAGCGTAAGCCGACCGTGGGTGCAAAGCCCGCAGTTGCGGACCCACGAAGAAGCGACAGCTCCTTGGTCGACGCCAAGCAAGCCACGGGCTCGACGTCAGCTTCGGTGTCGGCGAAGAGCCAGGCCAAGCCAGCAGCCCCCAAGAAGCCCATGCACCTGAACAACATCCCAACAGGAGGCAGGCAGGCCGCATCACCAACCAAGGAGAGGGACGAACCGACATTTGAGCGTTTGATAGCAATCGACCTCCCCGGGCAGCCGATGCTGGAGATGACTGCGCGCGACAGGGAGGACTACATTGAGGACTTTGCCAAGCGTTTCCCCAGCCTGAGCACCATAGAGTTGAGCCGGGAGGGCGGACGCGAGAGAGATGGACAGCAATGATATAGATTTCTTTCTCTGTTATAACTTGGTTTTTACTTTCTTTCCCCCACCGTCTTTATTACTCTACGTCTGTCGGGGGAAAAGGCATTGGTTCGAATTTCGCAAAGCAGATATATCAACATATTCGAGCATATATGGGAGCATTGCACTGGCTGTGGAATACAAAACTTTATTATTATTATTTACTACATCTGATTCTCCATGAGACAAATCGCTCCTTCGAAGCCGTCTTGGTCAACAACTTTTTGTCCCAACTCAATCGTGTGGAATCTCCTGCAGTTTACAGATTATGCGCCTACCGGTGTTATGCAATTATAGTGCACAATGCGGCTTATCTTATCGGACAAGGTATCCATATATTTTTTTCTTCTACCATTGAACCTGGGATTTGCTTCATATAACAACTTGAAGTCGTCGAGGACCTACGCAACAACACAAAATGGCGAAAAGAAAGAGGCAAAATGCTGCTGTCAGCGAACCCGCTGCTGAGCCCGTATCCACGAAGAAGTCAAAAACAGTTACCGAAACCAAAAAGTCAAAACCGGTCGACGAAAAGCCAAAGCAGGCCAAGCAGAGCGCAAAAGCCGTGCAAGCAAAAGCAGAGACAAAAGCAAAGACAACAGCGACAAGCGATGCGAAGCTCGTGGAGGAAACGATTCAGATTGTCGCGGGCTCCTACGACCGAGTTCTCCACGGACTGACAGCCTCAATTGGCCCCAAAGGCGACGTCGAGTTTGCCGATACCTTTCTCTTCAACGCGCACGCTTCGGCCATTCGATGCGTCGCCGTGTCTCCCCCTTCACCCCCGATCCCCGGACAGACGCAAAAGGTCCTTCTGGCGTCTGGAAGTACCGACGAGCGAATCCACGTGTACAACCTGTCTGCGCACCCGCCGAGCAAGAAGAACAAGGAAGCGCTGCTGAGCGTCGCCCCGAGACCGATCCTGGAGAATCCCAAGAACCGAGAGCTGGGGACGCTGCTGCACCATGATTCGACAATCACGGCGCTGCGGTTCCCCACGAGGTCGAAGCTACTCTCCGCGAGCGACGATTCCACGATTGCGATTACGCGGACGCGCGACTGGTCCATGCTGAGCAACATCAAGACGCCGAAGCCAAAGGCCCACGGGCGACCGACGGGCGACACGGCGCCGTTCGGCGGCACGCCGTCTGGCGTCAACGACTTTGCGATCCACCCGAGCATGAAGCTCATGATTAGCGTCTCAAAGGGCGAGCGGTGCATGCGGCTGTGGAACCTCGTCACCGGCAAGAAGGCGGGCGTGCTGAGCTTCAGCAAGGAGATGCTGCGGGAGATTGGCGAGAGCAAGCATGCGAGCGGCGAGGCGCGCAGGGTGACGTGGGGCACGGCGGACGGGGCGGACGAGTTTGCGGTTGGGTTCGATCGGGATGTGGTGGTCTTTGGGATGGACAGCGTGCCCAAGTGCAAGGTTATGCCGACGACGAAGAGGGTCAAGATTCATCAGTTTGCGTATGTCACGGTGGATGAGGAGGCGGGTGACTCGCTGTTGGCCGTGGCTACCGAGGATGGCCGCGTTGCGTTCTTCTCGACAAAGGCGGAGGACTTGTCAAAACCCGAGCCTTCAAATGACAAGACACAGGACGACAAGAAGGCGCCGGAGCCGACTCTCCCCGTGGCCAAGTTTGTCGGCTACGTAGGAGGCGAGGGCGTACAGGGAAGGATCAAGGACTTTGCCGTCATACCGAGCACGGCGAACAAGGGCACGCTGTACGTGGTTGGCGCGAGCAGCGACGGCAAGATCCGGCTGTGGACGGTGCAGACGGGGGAGCTGCTGGAGGCGGCGAGGAATAAGGAGGCCAAGGTTGAGAAGCCGGCGGGGGTGCTGAGGGGGACGTATGAGACGCATAATCGGGTGACTTGTCTGGCGGCGTTTTTGATGCTGGAGAGGCCGGAGGGGGTGGAGGATAGTGAGGATGAAGTTGAGGAGGAGGAAGAGGATGATAGTGAGAGTGAGGATGAGGAGGAGTAAAGGGCAGTGGTGAATGTTTTGGAATGATATGGAGTTGTATATACTTGACGTGGGTGTAATGATCGATGGCTGGGTAAAGATATAGTTACCAGTGCATACTTGATTCCCATGACCGTTTGCAAGTGCCATGTCTGTTATCAACTGCTACCTAAGTGGCGATGCGTTTTGTTTGTTCTGGAAGCCGTGAATGCGTGATAAGTGTCTGAGCCGCAAGTTTCTCCTACAGGTCTTCGTTCTTTTATAAAAAGAGTTGACTAACCAGAATCCCAACTTGGCTATCCAGCATCACGTTACTTTATATATAAGGTATATACTTGGGATACTAAATAGCCGAGTTGAGGTGCTGGATAGCCCCTTTTTGTACGGATTATTCATGCTGCTCTCACATTCCGCGTCTGATTTTCTTGTATAAAGTTGTAGGTTTTGCTGGTAGGTAGATGATAAGGCAGTTATGATGTTGTACATCTGCTACACTAAGGTATACCTAGTATCCAAAGGAGGAGAAGTAAGTAGACAGTCATTATGATGTTCGTTTCCATCTACTCCTTTTTCTCGCAGTCGCTTCCAGTAGAGAGACAAACTTACGGATGATTGGATTGCGAGACATTGAAATTTGTGTTTAAGGTCGTTCCACGTCACCTGGAAATTTCAATCCGCTATCCAAGAGAGCTTCTTGCAACTCAGGTTTGTTGTCTGCAATCTCACTTTTCGCTCACTTACTTCTCACATTCTGTGATCTTTAATGGGAGATAAATAGGCTACAGTTACCCGGCCTCGCTCAACCTCCTCCTCTCCTTTTGCACCCATATGACAAGTCTTGCCGCAAGCTCAATCCCATACCTCCTCAACTCTGTCAAACCCCCATCATCATATCTATCAGACTTCAAAGACCTAAACAACCAACCCCTTTTCCCTCCGAAGCTGAAGTTGTCATCAAAGGAAAAGTCAACAGGTATGCAAAATCTATATACTCTGCAGAGATTCCTGCCAGCGCTGACATCGTTATTGATTCATATGTACCTAGGGCGCTGCTCCCTTGACGGCTATTGCCACCATGGCGCCGGCGGGTCTCTCGACTTTGCCCAACGAGCTGCTCTACAAGATATGCAAGAATCTGTGTCCGCATTGCGCCAATCTCCCACGGTCTTTGCCCGAAGACGGCTACAAACTCGAAGATGGAAGACATGCGTTGTCTTGCCTCAGCAAGACGTGCCGGCAATTGCGCGAAATTGCACAGCCGATACTATATCATCATGTGTATACCATCAGACACTGGCACTTTTTGCGCAGCATCATCGCGCGGCCGGACCTGGCTGCCAATGTACGCGAATTGCAGTATCCCGGCGACTCTGATAGCCCTTTTTCAGGGGATCTCAACGCGGATGCTGTTTTACGGGCTCAGGAAGAGCTACTAAAACACATGGAAGGCATCGACGGGACTGATATCAATACCATTAATTGGGCAGACATTCTGGACATGATATTAGAACGACTCCCCAACGCGGAAGAATTGAGCATCAACATAGGGAACACACATATAGAGGTGTTTCATGCTGATCTAGAGTCTATCAGGCGTCTGCGTCTGTATTCTCGCTCTAAAGATCGTGAGCATGGGGATCAGATGGGCAGCTTGCTATCGGTGATGCCAGACCTCGAAGAGTTGAACATTTCAATCGACTTTCGGCCAGAGGAAACATATATGCTACCTTTTACTGAGCTCCGCTCCCTGGATCTCGAGTTCAGCCGATGGAGCGCGTCAGGTCTTACAACAATGATCAATCATTGCCCACAACTGGAACGCTTCAGATGCTACGGAGTTTTAGGCCCTGGCGTCTATGAGGACGACCTCGTGTGGTCCCTGGCGCAGCGTATCCTACAGCCGCTGAAGAAAACATTGAAGCATGTCAACTTTTGTCGTGATACAGATTTCTACCCTGAAGAACCATCTCTATCCCATTACTTTGGCAGTTTTCGCGAATTGGATGGGCTGGAGACACTATGGATGGATATCGGTTACATCCTCCCGGACCGCAGCAGTCCCTACGATCTTACATGTCCAGCAAACACAGACGAGTTGGTTGCACTGCTGCCGGAATCACTCAGGCTCGTATACTTTTGCGGTATCGATGACTGGTGGCATGGAATAGAGATGCTGGCGCAGGCGATTGAGGGAGGCCATTTCCCACGGCTCGAGACGGTGGTGGTGGAGCAGGATGGAGCAACATTGGAAGAGTCGCGCAGAGCTCTCGCAGCTGTGGGTGTTGCCTGCGAGAGCATTACATGTGGCACTGGAGATGGCCGTCATCTTTTCCCAGAGGGTGGCTTTTGGGATGATTGTTACTGGAATTGACCTTTTTTTCGACTGCCCATAGCGGTGAGAAAGACACTCGGTGGCAACGACGGCTGACGTATGAGGGTTGTGAAGGGCTCCCTGAAGGCCCTACAGCCAAGGAATGATGGTTCGGAGGTGATTGCTTGTGGAAAGAGGATATGACGGAAAGGCCCTGAGATGAGTTTGCTGTTTCTTCTTCGACATTGAGGAATTATGGGTAGTATAATACCCAGTCATATGAGGTTTGACGTGATGTCAATATATCTATTGCTGTAAGAATCATCTTCCTGTCCCTTTAGGTGATGCAAATAGTGAGGTTATCAACACCACATGTAAGGTACCTATATAGGAATGACATGAATCCATGTATAGATGGTGTATAAGCCAGGCTGAGGATAAATCGCGTCTTAAAGTCTCTTATATGGTTGTCTTCACGACAAGATGCCGGCATTTCGAGCGCGCAGCAATAAGTTCAACAAACGGCCGCAGTGTCAACATTCTCCGATTTGAGGGGTCTGCAGGATTCGAGAGGTCTGCAGAGGGTTGCATGCAGAGGACATGGAAGCTGGCGTTGCAATCAACCAATAGGTAGGTTGGGCGATTAATAAGCCCCCCCTCAGCCTCCTCACCGTGAATTGGGCTCGTCCCAAAAGCCAGCAGACTTGCCGTCTCCAACGTCTGACTTCCATCATCATCGCACGACTGAGGACAGAGGCAGATCATCAAGTACGCAGAGTCTTTGAGGTTCATCGTGTCACTGGCATTTCTGACATTCTCCTGTTAGGGCGCCGCTCCGTCCGTGTAGGTTGCAAGCCGTCTCTCGCCTCTCCATCATGGCGCCGACAAGTCTCCTGGCTCTGCCCGATGAGCTCCTCCTCATGATCTGCCGAGAGTTCTGTCTTCATTGCACTTGTCCTGAGGAGACATTCAGAGCCCATGCACTTATAGGCGAATATGTGGATGCTCTGTGCTTCCTTAGCCAGACATGCAAGCGCCTGCGTAAGATTGCGCAGCCGGTGTTGCACCACGATGCTCGGCCTCGACAGCTTCCACTCTTCCTACGAACAATCACTAGGCGACGGGACTTGGCCGCCCAGGTGCGCGCCTTCTGTGACTTGAGCCATAGTTATTCCAAAAGATTTCAAAATGGGGATCTCGGCGTGATCCCGCCCGGCCAGGTCACCGACGAGGAGGAGCGGACATGGGGAAACGATCTCGAACGCATGCGCACGCTGCTGGTGCCGACGTTGATGCGGCTCCCGGCCGTGGAGGATCTGGTCGTGGGTGTGACTTTCAGACGTGGGTACAAGTGGGAAACTCTGTTCAACATGAGATCCGTCAAGCGTCTGCTTCTGTATCCCTACAATTGCCGCCTTGGGTTTGGGAGCCTGGACGCTTTTCTCTCCTTGACGCCCAACCTTGAGAGCTTGGCATTTAAGGACTGGACTGGGTTAGTCATGAAGCCTCTGTCTCTCACTCGACTGGCCTCTCTGAAGATTCACGGGTTCAACTTGACCGCAGCGTCTCTGGAGGCACTGGTGAAGTCGTGTCCGATACTGGAACGCTTCGAGTTTCGACAATGGGGGTATAATGACGACAACCAGCCGCTATGGCTCATCGAGGAGGAAAGGGAACCGCTCACGTGGAGGCAAATGCAGGAAATCTTGCATCCACGGAAAGACACATTGAAACATGTCCGTTTCGCCTTTTACCCGCACCTGAACGAGGTCGAAGGCCTACCGTATAACCCAGCCGACGACATGGGCAGTTTCCGCGACTTCGAGCGGCTGGAGACACTGCATGTATCAGCACTCAGCTTCCGCGGACTTCAACCCACTCAACACGGCTTGCAGTTTTATGGTTATCCAGCGACGGTGTCCGAGCTGGTCAGCATATTGCCGGAATCGCTCACTCTGCTTCACTGCGACCGTTGCCACGAGAGGTGGGATGGGATGAAAATGCTGGCCTGCGCTATTCAACAGGGGCATTTCCCACGGCTCAAGACGGTGATTTCAGGAGAATGGGGGGTAAGGCTCAGAGAATCACACGAAATGTTGGCCTATTTCGGCGTGACCTGCTGGGGATGTTAAGAAACCGCTGTTCACCCGTCCCTGTTTACGATATCTGAAAAGGCGGCTTGATGGGTTCGAGATGGAGCAGGGCAGGTTGCCTTTCCAAGACCTACGTTGGGAGAAGATGGTTTGCTGAGGGAACCGAATGGGTGTCTGATATTCCTTCGTCATCACTTACTAGCATGCGGTAGCAAGGAAACACCAGAATGATCTCCATGCAAGTCTTAAGTGACGAAGCTGGGTTTGAGTGTCATGTTCCATGTATTTGCTCCCTAGGACTTATGATACCTGGGTATGCAGTACCGCGCGACATACAAAGCGATAGTAGCAGGAAATATAAACACCCTCCTCTATCAGCAGTAGGTAAGTAAGACTAGAAGTAGTAGAGGCGTGTAGATTTGTGAAGATGTTGCATCATGTAGACAGTCGCTTCTGATAGAAAGCATTACATACCTAACTACATATATGTAGTGTATCAGTCATTTGATCCCAGGGTGTTTCCTCCACAGCCTGCTTATATGCCTACCTAGGAGATAGGTTAGAAGAAGCCATCTTGTTTAGCTAAGTGAGCTAATTATAATTAAGTCTATTACAGGGTGAAAGTCCATTCACTGGAGAAGTTGCCCGAGGGCTGACACGGCCATGTGCATGGCTCCTCGCGGGCGGTGAGTCACTCACGTGAGGTTTCGACTCGCAAACCAAAGGAGCTTCCTGCAGCCCAAGCTTCTCTTCTACAATCGCAACTTCATCGGCATTACGATCCAAGACGGATTCAACAGATCTTTATCAGCAGCATCCCCGCCGCCTCATACTCATCAACTCCAGTACTGTAGACTGGCATCAAATTAGCAGACTGGCAGTCTCAGACAATTCAAACCACCATGCCGCAGCGGAGAGTTCAGGCAATGGCCGGACCAAAAGGTACGCAAAACTCTTCACGTCCTCAATCTCTTCTGCCAGCGCTGATGCTGTGAATACAGACAGCTGCTCCCGCGGCAGTCGTCACACACCCCAGGCATCGACGCGTCTCACAGCGCTGCCTGATGAGTTGCTGCTCATGATCTGCCAGCAGTTCTGTCAGCATTGCACAGATCCTACAAGGAGTTGGCGCCATTTTGTCGGTCCACGCCTCCATGCTCTATCTCATCTCAGCAAGACATGTCGAAAGATGCGTGACATCGCACAGCCGGTACTATATCACGATGTCCGTGTCGTGGAGCTCTGGCTCTTCTTGCGCACCATCATGGCGCGACCGGACCTGGCTGCCCAAGTACAGTGCTTCCATCAGTACGACCCGTTCATGTACTTTAGTTCTGAGGATATGGACGAAACGGCTTCTTCGCAGGCTCTTGAAGTGCAGAAACACGACTGGGTGCGCCAGTTTGAGGGTACAGAGGCCCTGGGCGGCGATGCCGACATTGAGAGATGGCTGCTCGACTCGACGTTGGCCCTGCTGACAAGCGCAAAGCAACTGATCATTGACATATGTTTGAATGAACGATACGCATGGGGAGCCTCGGCCAAGTTTTTATCCGTCAAGTATCTCGTCCTCGATCACGTCACTCGGCTTGGCGACGGTTACTTGAGCGACTTTCTGTCTACGATGCCGCGCCTCGAGAAGCTGTCCATCGCAGTCAAGGGGAACATGCCAGAACGCCTGCCTCTTGCGGAAGTCCGCTGTTTGGAGATTTGGGGGGAAGAATTGAGCGAGGCGGCTTTAGGCGCCATCGTGGGCTCTTGTCCAAGACTCGAACGGTTTGCGTACCACATGGGGATGGGGCAAGAAGCCATTACATGGAAGCCAGTGCAGCGTACTCTGCGCCAATGCAGGAAGACGTTGAGACACGTCGAGATCACCTTTAAGCCATACTATTTTGGCGAGAACCGCCACCTGGAGTATGGCCTGGGTAGCTTCCGCGATTTTGATCAACTAGAATCGCTCTTCATAAACGCAAAAGGCTTTCACACGGATGCTCTGAACGATAGAGTCCCCATGTTCCCAGCAAGGATGTCTCAACTGGTTGACTTTCTGCCCGAGTCGGTCCGGCACATTCGGTTCTATGGTCTACAACGCAAGTGGGATGGGATTGGGATGCTCACACAGGCAGTCTCGGAGGGTCACTTCCCACGCCTCAAGCTGCTCCAGTTCCGTCGGGATAGGTGGACTCTGAGTGAATCATACAGCATACTTACTGCTGCCGGCGTGACGTGCGAGATATCGACAGATGCTGCTGTTGATATATTACCCCAGGCTATTACGGTTCCATAGTGACATTTGCGATGGACCCAAGATGGAGTAAATCACGCTACGGATGTCTAGAAAGCGTCCTCGAGGTTGAGACTGAGGAGAAACGGTTTTGCTGAGGGAATCTCAAAGGACGTCTAGTATTTCCGCCGACACGTTATGGTAGAGAGATGCCTTCTAGTTCGAGCGACAGAGCCTGGTGCCAAATGAAGTCAATTGCAAGGTCTAGAATCCTTTCACGATAAAGATAGCCTCAGAACTGACGATTCACTGCCTCCTCTCGACCCACAGCTTCGCGGCATCATACATGCCCAGATACAAACCGCTCCCCACGGCCGTCCAAGCAGAGCGGAACGCTGCTCCCCGAAAGAAGCCCTTGAGTCCCCGTTCCCGCCAGACATCCTGCACCACCTTGATGCTCGCCAATCCCTTCCTGCTTGTCGAAGCATCATTGTCTATGCTGACCATCATCCGTGTCTTGATGACGTCGCTTGGCGTCGTGACAAAGGCAGCTATGCTCCCCGCAATGGCGGCACTGCTCCCTGCTATCAACCCAGATTCACCAACTCCTCTCGTTCCTCCATCTATATCCTGAGTTCCCTTTGACCGTGCCCTGTGTTCCCATAAGCGAGCGCGTATATGCTCAAACAGCGGAAACTGCATGGCGGTGAATGGAAGGTTGCGTGCCACGAGGGCGGAATACCCGGTGAATAATCTGCCGGAAGCGAGGACCCTCTTGAACGCCAGTAACGACGTCGACCTCTTTGGGATTGTATTTGATGCTGAGGCTTTTTGTTGTTGTTGTTGTTGTTGTTGAATCATTTGGGCGTTTTGCTTGATGACTTCGCCGGGGGTGAGGACGAGACAGGATGCCATTTCGGCGGTTGCAGAGGCGAGGGAGTGGATTACTGGGGTGGGCAGAGAGACGGGGAGATGCTTTGTATAGAGAGATTTTGTAGTTTCGTATGTTGAGAAGAAGACGCCGGCTTTGTAAAGCAATACATTTGTTCATTGTCAGCTGTAAATGTTACTCCAGAGTGGGCCATGATGCTTTTGAGGATGAAAGGGGGGGGGGGGGTTTGAAGGGGATGGATGGATTGGGGTTTGTATAGGGTGAGTTTAGTAGTTTGCCTTTATGTACCTGCAGGTAGAGTAGCCAGTATGACGCTTCCGATGCCTTGGTATAGACCGCGCAGGGCAAGGGGTTTTGTCAAGGGGGATTTGATAAAGTCCTGGGACTGGTAGCGCGTTTTGAGGGTGTCGAGGGGGTAGACGAGGAGGTCGACGGTAAAGGCCGCGGCGGCACCGGCCTTTGAAGGAGTTTGTAAGTTAGTAGGTGAGTGAGTATGGGTGTATTTGGCAGAGAGAGAGAGAGAGAGTGAGAGAGAGAGAGAAAGGTGTGAGACTACATGTACAGTGAGGGAGTGGACTGACCAGATATATTTCCTTCATTTCTCTATTTGCTTCTATAAAGCAGATCTATCTGTTATTCTTCTTCTTTGTAGATGATGAATGTGGATAAGGTAGGTTTAGGTGTAGAGTGTTGAGTTCAAGTGAGGGCTTGTTGCGTTGATGACATCATGGAGGCAGTCGCCAATCCGAGAAAACGCGAGTCGTCCATTTCGGTAAAGATGACTCCATGATCAAACTGCTTGCTTCTTCATGTCCTGCTTTTCAGAGATGAAAGAATAGTACTTTTCTTTTACCGAATAAATTCTTCCAATTGGCAGTAATGTACAGAGCGTTAAAAAAAAAAGAAAAGAAAAAAAAAAAAATACACGCCAAATTTGCCAAATCAGCTAGCCAAACCTCCAACATCTATACCGTGCCGTATGCTCATTGCTTTGTCCTTCCCTTCAAACATGTCTAAATCTATTGTGCCTAACAATTTGTCCCCCCCTTCCCCCCTTGTCTACAGCTACAGCTTGCTCTTGATGCTGCTGGGCGCATCTTCCGAGACGACGGCAATGACGACGCAAATGTCGTCGACTTTTCCGCCGTGCCAGTTTTCTTGGGGATAGTACTTTTTCACCTCCTTGGCAAACGGCCCGTCTCTCTTGGTGTTGACGCTGGCCTGCTTCGCAGCCAGCACAATCTCCGTCGCCAGCAGGCTCTGCAGCGTCACGGCCTTTTTCAACTGCCCGTCGACGCCTTCGGGAGCAGCCGTCAGGCTGTCCAGGGACTCGGCCACGGTGACCGCCTCGTTGGCTGCCATGCTCCAGGCACCGCTCTTGACCATGACCCGGCTGGCGATCCGCAGGATATCCTGGTTGAAGAGATTGTCCAGCACGCCATCGGTGGCAAAGACGAGCACGTCTCCGTGGCGCAGGTGGTGATGCGCCACGTCGGCATCGCGCGGCAGGTCGCTGAGCTGCGTTCCACCAAAGGCCGCCATGCGAGCGGCCACGCTGGGCGGCACGACGGACAGCTGGAAGGGCGTGTTGAAGGCATGCGTCTGCGGCTCCGAGTACGCGTGCACCGCGTTGAGGCGCAGCTGCAAGAAACCAGAGTCGCCCAGGTTGGCCACGTCCAGGACGCCCTCGGGTCGCGCAATGGCGACGCAGGCCGTGCTCCCTCCGGCGGCCACGTTGGGGTCCCTGCAGATGGCGTCGTAGCCCTTCTGCATGAGCTTGCGCGCCGTCAGAGGCGCATCGCTCGTCGCGGGATATTCGTACGCCGCGGCGGCCATGTAGTCGCAGAAGCCGTGCGAGAAGTCGGCCGGGTCGACGCCCGAGTCCACCCAGCCGCCGACGCCGTCCGCGACGCCAAAGGCCACGGAGCCGGACTCGTTGACGCGGCTTACGAAGAAGGCATCGTGGCCGGATTCGGGGCGCGATGACTTCCGGCGATGGCGGGGCGGCTGGATCCGGTTGTAGGGGTTGAAGTGGAAGACGTGGGTTGACGGGTCGTAGGGGCGGTCTTTGGCGATGAAGGACGCGGCAATGTGGTAGGAGAACTTGGGAGACGAGGACGAGTCGGAGTAGAAGCGCTGCGAGGCAGATCTGGGGGTCATGAACCAGGACGTCCTGGATGCGCAACTGGAGGCTGTTTGAGAATGGTTTGGTTAGCGGGATGACAATTGTCGGGTTAGGGGATCGCATTCAGTAGAGAGAGAGAGACGAACCATGATACAGCGTTCGCAGTGATGGCGAGGCAGGCACCCTGCTTGGGAGAAACATGGCCGTCGACGGTATCTCGACTGCGCTGGATTGTCGCGAAGAATCAAGAGGACGTTGATCCACGGCGAGGCAGTCCGAAGCGGCGCGCAATCGCCAATCCCGGCACTACTTTACAGAGACAACTTGCTCGCCATCCTCCGGCGAGAAGAAAAGTCGCTCGAGGTACCGCGGCAAAGGCGCAGTGGATCCGTTGGCGCCGAAGAGAGAGAAAAAAAAAAAAAAAAAAAAAGACGAAGAGCTTGAAGGCGAAAGCGTTTGTATGGCAATAATAATCCGGACAATCAGAGGGATCTCAATCGAGATTATTGTCAGTCAACCCCACCAAATTCGTTTCCCCCACAGAAACGAGCGTTTGCAGCGTCTTGTTCTGCGCTAAGGCACGTAATGATTAGCTAATGCGGCGCGCGCTTTACCCGAGCTTCTGCCGGCTGTCACGAGCTTTCAAGTCGTGTACGGGGTATTCACATCCCGTCTGCTGTGCTTAGGTAAGGTGCCTAGGTACTGCGTGCTCCGTCTTCACGGGATCGTCCATCCCGACTTTCTCCTGCTTAGCCGAATTGTCAATGTCTGCGCGCTGATTGGCTGCCCCGGAGCCTTGTGTCGAGGCCTCATAGCCGAGGAAGAGCCACTTCATCCGCAGCTTCTTCCAATTCCATGACGACGAGACGTCGAGACGCCACCACCAAAGCAGAACCTGGCCATTGCGCGGTCGATAGGAGGAATCACGAGCCTTGAGCGCCCCCGAATTCGATCTGATATATTCATCCCGCCACTCCGGCTTTCCCCCTGCCTCATCTTGATCAGCTACTGCAGCGCATCGTCACATCGCGGGGCTTTAACCCAAAGATCCGAAAAACCCAGCAAATCCCGAGCCACGAGATTACCGAGTCCTCGACGAAGCAAATCCCCACGAGAACACCAACCAACATTCACAATGGCCGCTCTCCGCTCCTCCTCACGCATCCTCAGCTCCTCGTCGAGGGCTGCCTTCCGCCCCAGCGCCGTCTTCGCGCGGTCCATGGCGACGGTCAGCGAGACGGAGCAGCAGCCCAGGATCAAGTCGTTCCAGATCTACCGATGGAATCCCGACACGCCGACGGAGAAGCCGCGGCTGCAGACGTACTCGATCGACCTCAACAAGACGGGCCCCATGATCCTCGACGCCCTCATCAAGATCAAGAACGAGCAGGACCCGTCGCTGACGTTCCGGAGGAGCTGCCGAGAGGGCATCTGCGGCAGCTGCGCCATGAACATCAACGGCCAGAACACGCTGGCATGCCTGTGCCGCATCCCCGCCGAGTCCTCGTCCGACGTCAAGATCTACCCGCTGCCGCACACCTACGTCGTCAAGGACCTGGTGCCCGACCTGACGCACTTTTACAAGCAGTACAAGTCCATTGAGCCCTATCTGCAGCGCGACACCCCTGCTGAAGATGTACGCCAACCCCCCCCCCCTCTGAAGCACACACACACACACACACTGCAAAGTATTTCAAGGAATTGAAGAATGGACAAGGATTTGCTGACTGAAAGAAACAGGGCAAGGAGTACCGCCAGAGCAAGGCGGACCGGAAGAAGCTGGACGGCCTGTACGAGTGCATCCTGTGCGCCTGCTGCTCGACGTCGTGCCCCTCGTACTGGTGGAATTCCGAAGAGTACCTCGGCCCCGCCATCCTGCTGCAGTCGTACCGGTGGCTGGTCGACTCCCGAGACGAGCGCACGGCGGCGCGCAAGAGCAAGCTCGAGAACTCCATGAGCCTGTACCGCTGCCACACCATTCTCAACTGCACGCGGACCTGCCCCAAGGGTCTCAACCCCGGCAAGGCCATTGCCGAGATCAAGAAGCAGATGGCTCTTGGCGCATAGAGAGATTTTTTCCTTTTTTGGTAGTTTTCGAAAGGGAGTGAATAGCATGGTGCGGGTGAAAGGAGGAGGAGGAGGCAAACGAACAAAATTGGGCGGAAATCTTGGGGGTTCCAGTGCCGCTGTGTATTAATCGCCGATGGAATTGTGTACTACATCGATATTCGAACTAGGTAGGTAGGGAGAAGCAAATTGTATTTTTTACCATTCGTACTCTCTGCGTGACTAGAATCCATGTTGTGTGTGTTTCAAGCAGTCTCTTTCCTTCTGTTGGTCTGGACGATCCAAGTACTAGTATATACTCCGAAGCTGATGTGCCAGCATCATGAGTCTCATCGTGAGTCTCATCTTGAGTCTTTTGCATTCCAGTCCCAAAATACCAGCATACATACATACTCCATCCGACACCGCCATCTCGGCCATCCTCCCTTGTCAAAAGAGTCGGTCCGTCCCTTGAGTGTACGCCCTTGGTATTCTTACTCTTACCGTCACACAAAAGCCGGCCATTCCTCGTCTTAGCTGTAGTCGGCACGACTTTTTGTCTTCTTCAATGACTTACTACTACTAAGGTAGTTAAAGAGACTGTTTCATGACCTTTTAAGAGATTCCTTCTCACAAACACTCGACGTCTTTCTGCCCTTTTTTTTTCCCTTACCATCTTTTGACCTTTAAAAAAAAAAATAGTGTCAATATGGCTTCTAGGGGTGTTGTCCTGTTTGCCGCGATGCTTGGAGGAGCGGCGGCTTTGGCGACGGTCAAGCCGGATGCGAACTGTGCCATCATTTGCGTGGACAGCGTGAATGAGTGCGGCGAGAAATACGGAGGGTATGTTATCTATCACACACACTCTTTTTTTCGCATTATATTACCCCCATCTTCCAGCCGTTCAAGCCCAACAGAGGGGGGGCCCATGATTTAGGGGTACGAGTATGATGTGCTGATGAGAGAAATTGATAGATGCTACGACCCTTGCCTCGAAGCTGCTCCCGAAGCACCTGCTTGTACGATCCCCGGCACGAGAGTCTGGTATCCTACGCCTCCTCCGACCGAAATCACGCCTTTTACGGATGGGGAGGATGAGGATTGCAATGACATTATTGTCTGTATCGATGGTATTAATGAGTGTGGTATACCGTTTGGAGAGTACGTTACCCCCCCCCCCTTCCCTTTTCCTCCTACTATCGCAATTCCTTGGTGCTGGAGCGTGTAGTTTGATGGGAAGTTTGAGTGGTTGACTGATAGTGTTTCGATTTGGGTGGATAGTTGTATTCCTGCTTGCAAGCCGTGGAACATTACGATTCCTTCGTGTCCTCCTGATGCGGATGAGCCGTCGGAGACGGATGGTACAGATGCAGGTGACGGTACGGATGGAGATGATGAGACGGATGGGCCTGTGGAAGCTGTGCCTTGGCAGGGGGCGGAGGTGCCAGCACCCGAGGAGCCGGTGGTCGCAGAACCGGTGGTCGGGGAGCCAGTGCCTGAGGATCCGTTGATTGGGGAGCCGGTGGCTGATGAGATTGTGCCGTGGATTCCGGACGGGTCAAGGGGCTGGTCTGGCTGAAGGCTTCTCTCTCTTGGGCCCGTGTCTTGCTCTCAACTTCCTCGCCGAGTTTGGGACGACGCGGAGCACCGTTGACTACCTACCTAGCACCTATGACGGACGACGATAGAAGTACGACTAGGCAACCAGCTTGACAGTTACCTGTTTGCATTCTCTGACCTTCTTGACTTGTAGTATCCAAGACTCCATGCAACTTACATGACAATGCCCATCACATACCAAAGATCAGTAATACTGACCCCTTGGCGTTCCCGTCCTATTGTACCCATCACTGGCTGCTGTATCTACCAGAGTCTCGTCATCAGAGCTTGCCTCTCCCTCAAGAGGCTCGCTGTGTTCCGGCGGCGCACGCATGGCCTCCAGCACATCTCGGTCCAGAGTGGGAAGCTGATACGGCTTGATGGTGTGCATCTCGCGACCTGAAGGCATCTTGTTGATCAACGCGCTTATGGGCGGAATAGGTCGCGTATTCATCTATCAGACCGCTTTAGCAAGACGACTCGAACAGCATCATCATCATCATCATCATGCCCAATAGGCTTACCGTATCGTTGATCTTGTTCCACTTTGCGTCGAGCAGTTCGAGGATCCGGGTCTCTTCGAGTTTCCCCGCGTCGGCTCCCCAGGCGGTTTCCTTGTCCACTCGGCGATCCTCCCTCTTCTCGCTGAGGCCCTTGATTGTGCGACTCAGGCTCAGACCCTTCTTCGCGCTTGCGTCCTTGACCTCCACGCCGAGTTCGTGTAAGCCGGCGCGCACCCAGGCGATACCCTCTGCCGTGTCTCCGCCCAGCTCTGCGTCAATGCCAAAGAAGCGGCAGGCTTTGGCGCGGCTTGTTCGTCGCAAGTCCTCCAAGTACCGGAGGAATCCTGAGCTGATGCCGCCTGAGCCTGATCTCGCTGACTGGCATAGTGCGGAAGCCTTGGCGGCATGTTCTGAGGCGGCAAGGCAGAGACGGGCGTAGAGATGAGCCCGGACTTTTGGAATGTCGGGTGCTTTGAACATCCATTCTTTGTCGCTCTTGTTTCTATCCTGTGCCACGGCGGCTGGATATGGGTCGTCCTTTAGCACAGCCAACAGCGTTGCCTCAGCGTGACAGAGAGACGCCAGAGCTCGGAGCGTGGCGGGAGCAATGTCGGCGCAGGGTGGATTGCCAATGATCTGCTCACTTCTTGTGGCAGCATAGTCATATATGGAGGCGGCTTCGAGGAGATACTTTGTCGCCGTCGTCATCACCGTCGTCCTCTCCTGGCCCCCCTGAAAGTCGAGCGTCGTGGAATACAGGGGCTGCAGCGTGGCCCTTGCCATGAGCACATTGGCGAAGCCCAGTGTCGATAGCGTGAAATAGAGCTCGTGCTCCAGTGAAATGATTTTGACGCGAGGCCGTTCGCGCCCGGGCACGAGATCGCCCGACAGCGTTGGTCGCCATGAGATGCAGGGAGTCGATTCCAGGATTGTGGTGACGGGTTCGCCGCCGACGGGCTGGTTGCTCAGGCCCGCGTCCACCGCGGCGAGATACGGGAGGTACTGCTCTAAGCTGGAGATGACGGTGCTGAGATTGGCGGTTTGTGACGAGGGCGGCAGTCGCTTGTGCTTCTTGAGGGCATCTCGGACGACCCCGCGATACGTGCTGGCGCTGAGGGGCAGCGAGGGATGAGAGTCGCAGGAGAAGGAGGATGAGAAGGAGAAGGCGGACGTTGTTGGGAGGGTGAATGGATACGGCATTGTTCTTCTGAGATCAGATGAGGTTCTTATGATACTATCGGCCTGAAACGGGGGGAGAAGATCAGGGAGGCGTGGATGATGTCAAAGGGAACTTGGAAGCTTTGATGCCGTAGAGCCTTGGCATTCATCACCAGTTCAAGGCCTGTATGTATATGGATGTCTGTATGCCCGCACGTACACCAAGCATCACAATACAGTGTGTCTAGCCGCTGAGCCACCAGCTCGCACCGTATTTCTTCAGCGGGCATCGGAGACATTAGCGCGCCACTGGAATTCCCCAATCTGGCTGCAGGTGATGCAGAGCATAAGGTACTAGGTAGGAAAGCTCCAGGTGTCCCGTCAATCTTCCAACTTCACCCTGTCCAGCTGTCTCGACCGTCTCTCTCTCTCTCCCACAGCAAGAGAACAGGCAATTGCCTGCCAGCACCCCCCTCACAGCTCGTCAGTTTCATGCGGTGACACACAACATGCCCGCCGTCAGTCCTGCGCACAAGCCGCGGCGGAAAGCCAACAAGGGCGACATCGACAAGCTGCGCGCTCCGGCCTTTCCCTTGGCCGCCTTCCTGTGGCCGGCGCGCACGTCGCTGTCGCAATGGGAGGTGCTGCCGCTCGTGCTGATGGTCGTCGGGCTGTTTCGGTGGGCGGCCGGGCTCTGGGGCTACTCTGGTGAGCAAATTCGAAGCGATCGCGCGCGGTGTCTCTGTGGAATGACTGACTGACTGACCGCGGCCTAGGATTTCAACGACCTCCCATGTTTGGCGACTACGAGGCCCAGCGCCATTGGATGGAGCTCACGACGCATCTGCCGATATCTCAATGGTACTTTCACGACCTCGAGTGGTGGGGGCTCGACTATCCTCCTTTGACGGCCTACCACAGCTGGGTTCTCGGCAAGATTGGCTCCGTGATCAACCCGGACTGGTTCGCCCTGGTGTCTTCGCGCGGCTCCCACGACCCGATGCTCAAGATCTTTATGAGGGCGACCGTCATCGTGTCGGAATACCTGGTCTTCATCCCTGCCGTCACGGTCTTTGTGCGACGCTTCAGTAGACTGAGCGACATTAGCATCTGGACGAGCAACCTGGCCCTTGTGGCTATCCTGATGCAGCCTTCGCTGATTCTGATCGACCATGTGCATTTCCAGTACAACACGGTGATGCTGGGCTTTGTTGTGGCGAGTATGTCAAGCATGCTGGCCGAACGATACATGTGGGCGGCTGTTTTGTTCGTTGCTGCGCTGGGCTTCAAGCAGATGGCGCTCTACTACGCCTTCAGCGTCTTTTCTTACTTGCTGGGAAGATGTATCACCACGGGCATCAACCCCACGAGGCTCATTGGCATTGCCTTGGTGACCATTGTCTCTTTTGGCGTCCTAGTTCTGCCTCTGGCCCTTGGCGCTCTCTACGACAAGCAGCGAGGCATTGATCCTAGCCCCGAGCTGAAAGTACAAGGGGCTACGCCTCTCATTGCCAACTACATCAGCCCTGATCACTTTTACTATCCCATCTTTGAGCAGCTTGGACAAATGGTCCACCGCGTGTTCCCATTTGCCCGCGGGCTCTTTGAAGACAAGGTCGCAAACTTCTGGTGTGCCCTCAACACGGTCATCAAGCTGCGCAACTACCCTGTCCATCTTCTTCAGAAAGCCGCTCTCGTGGCCACTCTTGCGTCCATTCTGCCGCCCAACATCATCCTGTTCCTACGACCTCGAAAGTCGGCGCTTCCGCCTGCCTTTGCGGCCACAGCATGGGGCTTTTTCCTCTTTAGCTGGCAAGTCCACGAGAAGAGCGTCCTCCTTCCCCTGATGCCAATGACGCTGCTTTTGGCTGGGAAACACGGCATGAGCGGCGAAGTCCGTGCCTGGGTAGGCTTTGCCAACCTCCTGGGCGCTTGGACAATGTTTCCTTTGTTGCACCGCGTCGACCTTAGAGTACCGTATGCGGTCTTTACCCTGCTTTGGGCATATCTCCTGGGCCTCCCCCCCACGTCCTGGAGCGCACCCTTTCAAGAAGGGCAATCCCAGGTTGTCCAATGGGGCACAGCCCTTCTACAGGGGACCTTTTACGCCACGATGGCGGCGTGGCATGTCGTCGAGGCCTTTGTCGAGCCGCCGCCGGGCAAGCCAGATCTGTGGGTGGTTGCCAATGTCGGTGTGGGTGCGGCAGGATTTTTCCTCTGCTATCTGTGGTGCATCTGGAGGCTATTGCGAGAAACGGGCTTTTTGTCCACTGGCGCCAAGGCCAAGACGAAGACGCAGTGATGCCGGCCACAGCTATGTCGTGAGAGCAGTCGAAAGAAGAGCGCCCAGCCTGCCACACGTTCCGTACAGCCGAAACACGCACTCGTTGGCCTGAATCAGGCGTCTGTTGGATGGGATGCGGTCGTATCAGAAATGGTCGCCGCCAAAGTTGTGAGTGCAGTTGGGCGTCTCCTTGTGATCCCAACAGGGCACATACGGCGGCAGGCAGCCACAAAAGCAGCATGCTCTTTTGGGAAGAAAGAGCCGAAGACCAGGAGGCTGAGGCCAGCCCTGGCGCATCAGACCCTCCATAGACTATCCGTTAGACAAATCTTCAAACAACCACTTCACTAATTCGAATCACGTACCAGCCACTCCACTGCAATGTTCTGCAGAGCCTGCAATACCTCATGCCATCAAGACCAACGCTGTGAAGACGGGAACCTGCATAGCATATGGCCCCCCCCTCGTCCACCCCTTTTTAGGAGGGGCTCTGGCGGCATTCCCAATCCGGCATCTTGCGCAGATTCCATGGGGTGCGGAACGCCGCATCGTGGCCATTGCCTTTCTGTGACTGCTGAGTCCTGGTGCTTAGGCTTTGCCTTGATGTGTAGATGTGTTGTTATGTGGTACAACAATTGCGTTTCATGTATGTACCTGTCGTGTAGTAGGTGTGCATCTTTTTTTGGTCTTTGATGATGATGGTAGGGACTCAAGAGGCATGCCTCTCGCCCACATTTGCTCGCCCATACATTTGAGGTCCAGATAGGCAAGAATCTGCAACCTGGTTTCTAGCCTCTCATTATCTTCATGCTCATTTGTGTTTATATTGACTTCGCAGCTGGCTATACGGATCGCGTCAACTCTTGACGTCTCGCGTGTTGCTGGAACATTGAACCTCTTTTGTGGAAGCCAAGATGTTGTGGTTCTGGTTCCGAATAGTGGCATTTGCGGTGGTCCTATTCGGCAGACACGTGCTGGGAGAACCAGACTTACGGCCCGGGATGGTAATCCCCTCCCGGGCCTTTGTGTCGATATGGACGTCTACCATTACTTATATGCGATACGATGGGATCCTTACGACGGCGACTGGTATGCTACATTTCAAGAGTCACTGTCTTGAGCATAGGCACTGACTGTCATTGTGTTTGGCAGAAATTTCCAGGATCTCGGATGTTGACATTGCGACGACGACTGAGGCGTCGACTGCTACCTCGGATTCCGCTGAGACTGAGACCGAGACTGAGGCTTCTTCGTCCATGACATCAACTTCATCCTCCGCACCTCCTGCGGGATCTCCAGCTTTCTTCACGCTGCCTATTATTCGAGTAACAATCACCCAGACAATATCGACTTTGCCAACTTTGTCGACTTCGCCAGCCCTTTCAACTTTGTCGACTTCGTCCACCTTTTCCATTTCATCAATTCGGTCCAGCCCTTCAACTTTGTCCACTTCTTCAACGTCCACAGCCCCAGATGCCACACAAGCCGAGTACCACGCTGCTTCCCCAGCACCCCAATCTACACATATAAGTGCCGCGCAAATCGCCGGTATTGCCATTGGCAGCGGTGCCTTCTTCTGTCTCGTGGCGGCACTCTTCTTTTTCTTTGGAAGACGCGATGGAGGACGTTTTGCACATGACAGGGGGCATCGCCGTTTTTCCATGAGGAGTGTTGGTGCCGGGTTAGGAACTGTATTCGGGACGATTTGGGGCAAGGAGAAGCCTGATGCCAAGCAGCAGCAGCGCATGGAGACGGCTCAGGGCCCTGCTGAGCTCCCGGCTGAACCTGCGGTTGAACTTCCTGCTGATATTCCTGATACTGTGGAGTCTTTGGGTGAAAAGCAAGGGCATTATACATTGATGGGAAGAGAGACTGGTGGTTTTCAACTCCCTGTTGTGAAAGAGTTGGATGGGACTAGTGTGGCATCACACAAGTAAGTCATTCCAAACGATGGAGGAGTCTTCTCGACGCTGCAATTGGTCGTTAGTACAACCGTCTCTTCCACTCCGTTCTCTTTTTTCCATTCTTCATCATTGCTGACCACAAGTTTCAAAGACCAAAGTCTCCGTCTTTGGAACAGCAAGCGGAACGACAGTTTCAGCAGCAGCGTCAATCACCGCAACGAAGTCAAGAAGCCGAAATCTTGCCTTCGCCAGACATGCCTGGCGAGAATGCTTTGTTGACGACGTTGCCAAGATATGAGGAGCTTGATCGTGAGGCAAGGTCTCGCCGGTCTTCGTGGGCTGCCCCGGAGAGTGCGCATGGTCCGGACAAGTCTTGGTATGAGAGCTGAGACCGCGAGAAGTAGAAGGGTTGTATGGCGGGCGATTTTGTTTGTACTTTGGAATCAATGGATGAGTGATGAGTATGAGATATGTATGCCATAAAGTTGAGTCGACACGGGTTGAAATCTAGCTTGCCTTGTTTGCTTTGACTACATGTATAAATAGACTCACATCCTGCTTCTCAGAAGAAATTGACTTCATCAGACTTGCCTGATTGATCGTGTCGATTATCCAAACCAAGGGGGGCGCCTCTTATGCCCAGGGAACTGATCTTTTAGAATTTCACCTTGACGAGCCCCCTTTTACAGGGTAGTCAGGCTGAGAGCGCTTTGTATGAGGATTTGAGTAATGGACTACAGCAATGGTACAAGATTAACCCTTTGTAAGACGAGCAGTCAAATCTTGTGCTATTTTCATAGAATGGGCAATTACGTAGAACCTGGGTGTCCACGGTTATGGCCATATCCAGCACTGATCCCATATAATCACGTTTTGCACCATCACGCATTCGAAACGAACAAAATTCGAAAAAACGGCAAGTCGTCAATTCCTTGACCTGGATATTCTATGCCAACCTATACCGGCCGCCAAGCCATCCACGAGCGATCAATCCTCCAATGCCACCAGAGCCATCCGAGACCAACCGCCCAACATGCTCGCAACTTTTCCGAAAATCGTAGAGGGTCGTAACTTTGCGCATCCTTTTTACAAATGGAGCGCTTAGTCGAAGAGACCGAAGCCCATATCCTCGTCGGACTCCTCCTTCTCCTCCTCCTTCTTCTCCTCGGCCTTCTCCTCGGCAGCGGCAGCACCACCGGCGGCGGGGGCAGCAGCGGCACCAGCACCGCCAGAGGGAACGGAAGCGAGCTTCTCAGAGCCAGCGGCGATCAGCTAGAGAGGAATTTGTCAGTTGATTGTGCTGCAAACAGAGGCTTTAGCAAGCATAGAGTTAAAAAGGCATACCTCGTTGATGTCCTTGCCAGAGAGCTCGGAGATGAGCTTCTCGAGACGCTCATCCTCGGCCTCGACGCCGACGGAGCTGAGGACGGACTTGATGTCCTCGGCAGAGGGGGAGGCGTTGCCGCCGAGGGTGAGGAGGAGGTAGGCTGCGAGGTGCTTCATTTTGAAGGTTCTGCAAACGAAGAACTTCGTTAGTATGCAGGTCGTGATATCTTCTTTTGAATCTGCAGCGCGACGAGGGGCAGAGGCAGCAAAGACCTGATGTGTCGATGGAGATTCGCAGCTGCTGAAGCAATGGGAGAGATCTGGGCACTCACTATTGAAGTTCAGGAGGAACACGAGAAATCAATCACTTTAACCGCAAGTTGGGCGGAGACTGAAACCTTCGAGTTCTGGTGGTTTGAGTTGGGTTGAGATAGGAAAAGGTTTGGAAAGGAAAAAAGTTGCCCCAAGTAGAAAGTCGCCAGGGCAATTTACCGTACAAAAACCTGTGGGCGCTAAAAAGAGCTGCTTAGCCGAAAACAAAAAATTACAGTGGAGGGCAGGCGATCCGCTTTAGGGCCGTGGAGTTCGGAGCTGTACGAGTACGTAAGCAGCCGCGACCTCAGCCTCATCTGTGTCTTTATCAGCTTATCGCACCGCCACAGCTCAGCTCCTTTGGCTATCACGTGTATTCCTGCCTCGTCCAGCTCAATTGTGGCGCCCGCCGTTTTTCCATCCCGTAGCTCTACCGGCAAAAGGTGCGCTGGCCAGCCTCTCACCCAACGCCTTTTCCCTTGACGTGCCATACAATCTCTTCGGAGCAGAAGAAAGCATCACCCTCACCTTGTGTGCCTCTGTGGACAAAGCGTTGCATATCTTATCTCTCTTGCTCACAGTACTGTATTTCTTTTTATTCGAAAACCTCGCCCGAACCCGTGGCAGCGCGCATCCTGTCCGCCAGACGCCCCTTCTAGGGCCTTCTCTCCGTTGCGTTGCGTGAGGGGAGCCTGCGTCGGTGCCGATTCGCCTTGCTCTTCGCTTGCCGAGCGGAGGAGCGGCGTCACCTATGCATCACGGCATCTAGAGTGCTTGGGAGGGCTACGTGAAAGAGGTCCCTGGAAATTTAGCAACTTGACGAAGCAGAGGTCTCAAGACAAGTCACGATGCCGGTAAGTCGTCGCCTTTTCTTCTATTCTCGCCCAAGACCCTGGGGGTTTGGGCATCAGCGCCTACGGTTGCTAACGTAAGTTACCAGATCGGAGACCTCCTGGCTCAGATCACCGGCGGGAAGCCCTCGGACAGCCCTGCGCCCGCCGTTCAACGGATGCCGAGCGTCTCGGTCAAGCGGAAGGCCGATGATGACATTTCCAGGACCGACGCCAAGACACCGCGTCTGTTCACGCAGCCGACAAAGGCCCCAGAGCGCCCTGCGAGTGCTACCCTGCCGAAACCACCATCAACTACAACATCCTCGAAGTCACCGTCGACTACAACATCCTCGAAGCCACCATCGACTACAACATCCTCGAAGCCAGTCAGCCTTGCCACTCGACCAGCGAAGCCTGCCGTTGCTAGCAAACCACCGTCCGCGCCCCTCGTCGACCCAAACAAGCCTAAAGCGCCTCCGAAGAAGGGATCCTATGCCGAAATTCTCGCGAGGGCTCAACGGGCCCAAGCGGTGATGGGCCAGGTGGGCAAGATTCAGCATAAAAAGGTCGAGAAGGGGGCTATCAAGAGGGACAAGGAGAGAACAGACGTCAAGGGTGCAACGTCAGGTGCTCAGAGCAGCAAGGCTCCAGTTGGCTACAAAGGATCAGCAAGGCCGGCACAGCGCAACGGTACGAATGGGAGTGCGCTTTCAAAAGACCGCAACGGTGCTGCGTCTCGCACCCCTGCCAAGGGCATGACGTCGTCACGGAAGGCGCCGGTGCCGGAGCCCGAGAAGAAGGTCAAGAAGGCAGCGCTGGCAACGACCGGCTATACCGGAACAGCCCGCCCCAAGCCCGGCAACACGCTGAAGAAGAGCAACGCTCCACGCGGAGGTGCCCTGCTCAACGCCCCTCCACCCCGACCCGGCGCCAACCGACGATCCCGATACGAGGATGACTATGACGAGGACATGGACGACTTCATCGATTATGACGACGAGGAAGACGAGGGTCCGCGTTACGGTTATGCCTCTGACGCCTCATCCGACATGGAGGCTGGCCTGGACGACATTGACGACGAGGAACGCATGGCTGAGCGGATCGCGCGCCGCGAGGATCTGCGGGAGGAGCAGCTCGAGAGATCCCTCAAGATGGCCAAGGAGGAGAAGAAGCGCAAAGCTCTCGAAGCGTTGCGGGCCAACCGACGCTAACGGTCCCTTTGTCCTTTGGTTGCCTGGGGCGTTGGGTATTCTTTTGCGTACATTAATTCTGAATCGGATTTGGGAGGAAAGGTTGGCATACCTGGTACGGACTCAGGAAGGGGAATTCAAGACGTTGAGTGTGCCAGCGATATTTTGCAGCGAGAAACCGGATTCACCGCCCTGTGTGTCTTACCATCTCAGAGTCATCAGCGACGGAGTTTTATTTTTCTTGTATCTTTCGAAAAGAAAGTCTCTTGCAGGCCTTTCATGGACTTATTTTGTCCCCGTTCCCTACTACTACTTACAATACAGACACACACACACACACACACACACACACACACATACACTCCCCTATTCTGCCCGTTCACCTCTTTCACCCCCCTTGCCCTCCCCCCTGGCTATCCTGTTGACTTTCGGTTTGAAGTCTTGACTCTGTTTTCTTTTTCTTTTTTATTTATTTCTTTTTTTGTTTTTATCCAGCGGTGTTTATACAGGATTGGAATTTGTTTCTTGCATTGTATGGCGCAGAAATAGGAACGTTTTTCGATCTGACTTTTCAACTTCCCCCTCCCGGTGGCAGCGTCCTGGTTCGGACAGTATTCCGAGTTACATTAGCTAGAGATCATTAGGTAGTCGCTTCTTCCTTTGAAAGGGAGGGTACGCGTTTATAATTGTCCATTATGCTTCCAATACCTCGGGCTTATCGACCAGATAGATTTGTCAATAGTGAACCAGTGGTGTCCCACGACATCGTAGTCTTAGGAGCATGGTTCTGACGGAAATGGAGTTTCAAGGATGCAATAGAGTCTCATTGAACTCTTATACTGCGTAGTACTATATAACAAGACCTGTATCCGAGAAGAGAAAAAACAAGAAGAAAGAAACAATTATCTAAGCAGTTGAACTTTGCTTTTTTTTTTTTTTTTCCCTTTGAATCCATGCATGTATCGCAAATGTATCGAATAAACCAGGATGTTCCTGAGCCCTGATGCCTCCCACTTTTTCAAGACGAAAACAAATTGGGGTTCCTATAAACAATAGTCAATTTTAGAAGAAATAATCATAGGCCGTCAAAAACAAGAAAGACTTGTTGCTGCACGCCACACCCCTCAAGATACCTATCTCTTTGGACTCGGTTTGAGAGCACTGGCTGAGCTGTCTCGGTTCCGCACGACCAAGACTCCTGAAGACTGATCGAGGACGATTTGAGCCGATATCCAAGTTGCAAGGGAAGGGCTGCTCTTGAAACGATAGGCTTGAGGCGAGTCAAAGACGACCTCGTGTCCGCAAGTCGACCTTGTTACACTTGCAAACGAGATTTGTGAAGCCAACGCCGTCCAATGATGCTTGCGTTCGATGCAGCAGATATTTCGAACCAAAAGAGCAGTACCAAAAAAACACCCACCCGCTCTGAAATTGCGGAAACGAGGTTCGAGAACGTCGAGGCCAACAATGGCTGGTGCCGAGACTTTCTGCAAATAATGGGGAGGATGGTGTATATATCAAAAAGACATGTGTGCAAACGCAAACGGTTGAATCAAGGAAGATCGTCACTCTGCGATTGCTTGCCACTTGAGCTTCCATACGGCTTCAAGAGCCAGCCTTGATAGGGCCGGACTCCTTGAGTGCTGGTACTATTAGCCGTAGGTACGGAGGAGGAAGGCGGATTGCTTCTGCGGGGTGGCTCCCTCTTGGCAGGCTGAGGTGGGATGGCAGGGAGGGAAGACGTGGAGGGAGGCAGTGTAGAAGCAGAGGCAGATGCAGAAACAGGAGCAGGCGTAGATGCTGATGCTGACGCGGGTCTGGTGGGCGCGGAGACGGGCGCTGGCTTCTTTTCTTCGCCGTTGGTCTGGGCCGCTGCTGAAGCTCCAGCAGCGTTCATGAGACCCTTTTCGCGAAGGTACTGGATAGACTGCAGGACGGCCAGGTCTTCTTGCTCCTTGTCGTTCAAAATCAAGCGTTGCTGGATGGTGAGGCGACCATTGTTGGCCTCGCGTTCCTTGATGGCCGCCTCCCGAGCTTGGGGATCATGGACAAAGCGGCACTTGCCCTTCTTACCGCACGTTCCGCCGGTGGCGTAGTACTTGCAGTGTCTGGTAATGTCAGCCTTGTTGGCTGAGGGAGCGGGAGGCGCCGTCTGGGTACGGCTGGACATGACTTCGGGCTCGTCATCCGACGAGTCTTCGGAGGGATCGCGCATCTCGTCACCTTCGTCACCCTGCTCTCGCTTTCTCTTGATGGAGAACTCGACCTTGCGCAGCTGCTTCCTAAGTCTGTCGGCCTCCTTCTCCAAAGAGGCAGCCTTGTCCTCTTCTTGTTGCGCCAACTCGGCAGCCTTTTTGGCTTCGACACGCGCTCTGGTGGGGAATTTCTTCTTTCGCTCTGCAATAAAGGCCGCAACATCGCTGATGCTGTCAGAAAACGAGGTTAGTCATGATGTAGTAGACAACAAGGGCTTCGGACTGCGCTTACTTGAGGGCTTCCTGACCGATGAGTTCGGTGAGTGTCTTTTCCTCTCCCTCATCATCTTCTGTTTCCGAGTCAACCCCCGGGGTCAAGCCAAGAGTGTTGGTCTTTCTCTTCTTCTTCTTGCCTGCTGATGGGGACTCGGGCTTGTCGGGCTTTGCAGCACTGTCAACATGGTTACTCGACTGCTTTGGAGGGCGTGCCTTATCACCCCCTCCATGGTGATGAGAATGATGATGACCACCCCGCCCCTTACTACCCTCTCTGTGCCCGCCGCGGCCTCGACGAGAATACTGGCTGTGGGGAGAGTCTGAGTGACGGGAGCTGACGGGAGGGGGCGGAGGTGCTGTGTAAGCATATTGCGGCGGAGGATAATGGGCAACTCGAGGATCAGGGGGGTATGGCTGGGGATATCCGCCGATCATCGGAGGGTGCGCTGCATCATACTCGTGGCCGTGACGGACGGGAGGTGCACTGTGAGATTGCTTGTGGCCCCCACGGTCACCGTATCCTCCACGGCCTCTGCCACCGCTGCCATACGGCTGAGGAGCTCCCTGGTTGTTCCACTGCGGCGGCTGGTTGGGTGGAGGAGGGGGGGCTTGATAGGGGTAAGGCTGAGGGGCCGCATAGGGAGCCTGCTGAGGGTACTGGGACGGGGGATAAGCTTGAGGAGCGTAGTTTGGGTGGTAATTGGACGCAGAGAGCGGCACAGGAGCGTGCGGGTGGGCGTGGTGCGCAGGAGCAGGAGCATGAGCATGAGCATGAGCATGAGCATGGCCGTGATCGGGAGCCCACTGCGGTTGGGGAGCCGGATAGCCATTCGCCTGCGGGTGAGAGCTGCCGTACGGCACAGCGTGTTGGGCAGGATATGGCTGCCCAGCGTATTCATACCGCGGCTGCGAGCTGTGGTAGTCGCCCCGACCGCCGTGGTAGTGGCCGCCTCTACGGCTGCTTGATCCGCCGCCGCGGCCTTGGCCGTAGGGAGTCGAACTCGACTGTCCGTAGCCGGCGCCGCCAGACGTAGGGGGCGGAGGGGGTGGTGGTGCGTAGTTGTACGTCGACATTGCTCAAGGGGTCATGAGAACTAGTGCGATGCGGACCTGATGGCTGCTGAGAAGGCTGATGCAGAGACCCAATCGGCTGCTGAGGTATTCCAAGCAAGAAAGAGGACCAGATATAGAGACTGAGGACGGTCAGGGTCAGACTTAGGAGTCTTCGAGACTTCTCGGACTCGACGGCGGGCGGTTGGGGGCAGGAGGAGGAATTCAACGACGATACTCGGGATGCAATCCAAACAAGAAGAGAAACGCTCTGTAATTGATGACCCGAAGGGAATAAGCCTGCTGAAGAGCCGGGACAGGCGGTGATGGCGCCTCGGAAGCGCTGCGCAAGTGCTGCTGGACGGTGACAAGATGGGAATCAACGGCAAGTTGCACGATGTCTGACTTTGGCTGCAAAATGAAGTGCGGTTGGGCAAAAGGGCCCGCTAGTCCGGTGTGGGCAGGCGGTGAGACACTGTCCGGGACAGCGCTCGATAGCGCTATGCTGGATGCGGACTAGGGCGCATCGTCTTTCGAACTGAATTTCTTACTGACTTTTTGGCTGCCGATGATGATGAGACTGAACGGCTTCATTTGCTGGTTGAGGCGATGACGAGGGATGCATGTTGTGACTTGACGGCATCTCGTTCGTGATGTTTCTGCTTGTCCATATTTGCTTTCTGAGTCACAGCTGAAGGCTCTTTGATACTCGAGTGTCCTCGTTAAGATGTTTATCCTCGTACGTTGCTGATGCTTCCAGACCGGCATCATGTCTGCTCTCTCACAATGACATCGCTAATCTGCAGTCTCAGACCAAGTTCGCCGATCTGGTGCAAATCTCCCCGGAAGATTTCTCAAAGCACAGCATCGTAGCAATTGAGGACAACATCAATGCCAAATATGCAAATAAGGTAGGGGGTTTCCTCTTGTCTCTCCCGCTCATCGACTGCTGTTGGCTCGCATCAATGACTGATTCGCGTCTTCACGCAGGTTGTCCAGAAAATCGGACTGTGCATATCTCTGTTCGATGTCCTATGGACGTCCGAAGGCTTGATCGGCCACGGCACAGGCCTCGTCAACGTCAATGGTGCGATAACCCTTCTTGTCTATGCGGCACGTTCAGCCTGCTCACATGACGATAGTCGAGTTTCGGATGATAGTCTTCAGACCCTTCAAGGGCGAGGTCATGCTTGGCAGGATACGTAGCTCGACTCCTTCTGGCATTCATCTCAGGACAGACTTTTTCGACGACATCTTTGTGCCGTACGAGGAGCTCCCCCAGGGGGCTGAATAGTAAGGCCGCCCGCCGCGAGCTTCACTTTCTGCATGCGGAGAGCTGACAACAGGACACAGTAACCACAGCGAACAAATCTGGATATGGAACTTTGACGAAGAGCGCCTGTTTTACGACAACCACGAAATGGTCCGGTTCCAGGTCATTGACGAAGAATGGCACGATCAGACCCCAGTCGGCCCCACGCAAGCAGAAGACACGCCGGCAAAGACGCCTTACAAGATCAAGGGCAGCATGGCTGCTGAAGGTCTGGGCGTGTGCTTGTGGTGGGATGGTGCCTGATTGGACGATTCACAGCGTATGAAGAGCACAATGTAGCAACACTTATTTCCCTTTGATTGGACTCATTGGACCCATACAAAGTCTACACTTTGATCCTTTCCAGCAGTCGCTCCTCGATGCCGTCCAGGACAGAGTAGTGCTCAATGACGGCCAAGTTCTCGGCTTCGGCCTTGAACATCTTGCTGGGGTCCTGTCCGGGAGCCATGGGGCCGACGGGCATCTGCTGAGCCTGCATCTGCTGAGCAATCTGGCTCGCGGCTGTTGATTGTTTAGAGCGGATCATTATGATGGGGAGAGGGGGGCGTGTGTCAACTCACCATTGTCACTACCGAGGAGGAACACATAGACAAACTGCAGACCGAAAATGCACAAAAAGTACCAGCTGATGCTGGACATCCACCGCGGATCCATGTCTTTGGTCTGGACACCTGCTTGCAGCATGCTCTTGAACTTGATTGTAATGGGAAATGGCAGTTTCACTACTTGTTGTTAGCACTAGCAGTGAATTGGACAGCCTGTATACCATACTGATGACGTATCCGCTGAAAAAGGCATTGATCCAGCTCATAATCAGCGTGTTGGGGATAATCATGGCCATATTGTTCTTCATCATGCCCATCATGCCCTCCATAGCATTGGGGTCCGTCATTGGGTTCGCCGGCGGTTGGCCCTTCTGGTTCGGCGCCTTCAGGTAGGCCCCGGACTCGAATCCCTCAATGAGAAAGTCTCGCCGGGTCTCAAACGACTTGCGCGACAGCACGTGGTAGTTGGTCCGAAGCGCGGCGCCGTGGGCGAGGGCACGCTGCTCGCGGATGGCCTTGATGTCGGCCTTTTTCGGCGTCGTGGCCATGAGGACGGATGCATAGTGGCGAAGGACACCGGTCAGGACCATGACAATGGTGATGGGGATAAGGATCCAGTAGCTATGCGCGGGAATGCCATGTTAGCTCGTTACGTCGTTGATCTCGAAGCTGTGACGTTGGGATACGGACAAGAGCTGGGGGTCCCTATGCAGGGTCTGGGGCGGTATTTGCGCCATGATGGATTCGCTCGGCTGATCGCTGTGACACGATGCTGATTGTTCGGTATTCAGCGACCTGGTAGCTGGCGATGGCGCTGCTATTAGGTATGGAGGGGGAGCTTGGGAAGAGGCTGAAGTGGAAGATGGAATCATAACAGCTGAAGCTCTGGCAGTATAGCACGGAGTATCCTACCGCCGGCAGCCGGCAGCCCCACTGCACGGAGCAGCAGCGCTCGTCGATTGGCTGGTCGAGCTCAAGTTAACAGATCCCCACGATCTTAGTGGGCGTTAGCACTGCAGTCAACTGCTAACTTACAGGCCACCTCTGCCACAAGCCGACGAGCAAGCAGATCAACACCAGCGTCTTGCTTTGGGTCCAGATCACCAGAACATCGAATTCACCATGGCCGCCGAAAAGGTCTCTCTGTATAACCTGGCAGGTAAGACCAACCAGTGCCATGATGCACCTTGCCGCTATCAATCCAGTCCATCGTGTGCTGACACCGTGGCCATAGACCTCAAGAACACAGCCGACGATGCGATCCCCAACTACCTCAATTCCCTAAAGTTCAAGCAGACACACTTCCTCAGCGATGTACGGCTAGTGCTGGGATACAGCGCCTTTCTCGTATCCGCCGCTTGCTTTGCGTGGGACTACAAGCTCGGCTTTGAGAGCACCAAGACGTACACAGCAATCGCCGTGGCTGTCTACACCCTGCTGAACGGCCTCTTGACGTTCTGGATGATGTTTGTAGAGAAGGGCGTTGTCTATCAGGGCGTTGCGCCATCAGGAGACAAGGTACCTATGCAGTGACCAATCTCGCAGGTCACGAAGCGCAAGACTGACGAGGACCAACTTGCAGATTACAGTAGCCACCTCGACGAAGAAGCTGGATCCCACGTACCGACTCAGCATCACCGTCACGGACAAATCCGCCAAGTCGCGCATCATTGAGATTGCCAAGCCGTTTGCCTCCTTCTTCGACGAGAGCGGCTACTTCGTGGCTGCTCCTTTCCAGCAGATTCTCGCCACGGCCGTTCCCATTGTCGGCAAGCTGGACCCCAAGCGCATCAAGTCGGAGTCTCAAGACATGCTGAATGCGAGCCCCGAGATTTTGGATGCGATTCTGGCGGCGAACAACGCGGCTGCAGCATCTACAGGGGCGGAAGCGGCGGAAGGTGGGAAGCGACGAAAGGCGTGAGAGATGGATGCAGTGATACCCTGGAGGGGAGCTACGCAAGGCAAGCAATTGGCGTAAAGACTTGGGATTTCTCTTTCTCTTTGAAAATGAAAAGATGACAGATGATACTGTTCTTGACTCATTTCCACCTGTGAACGACTTGAGCCCCAGCACTGCGTCCTTGATTTCGCTTGTCCGGGTTATCGGCCTTTAAGCAGCGATGTCCCGGCCCTCGCGGCCATGGCGCTCCAATGGATCCAGAAGGACTGAAGCATCACAACGATGTGCATGTATACAATTGCGATTGCCTTGGTTGCTTGCTGTCATAAACGCGATATAGCCGGCGTATTCCCAATATCAAGCCAAGGTAGCAGAGGCGCATGGATTAGGACACGCCTCGGGTCAGCAACGGCATCACCTCCACCATGTTGTTAGGCACTTACAAGTATTCCCTTGCTGTATTGAATTCAGCCTCGAAGATGACGCTTTGACCTGTGCTGTTGTCAGTAGAAATGAGGTGTAAGTAGGATTGGCCTTGCGCGGCAATTCCCGATACCACAAGGAGCAGGGATCCGTGTAGCATTGGATGTAAGACGGCGTGTAATGGGGGCCATTTGCTTTCGAGTCACCTACATGTAGGTAGACGCCAATTGATAGCCAACCCTGTCCTCTCGGCCTTTAAAGCATGATTTCTGCTCATTCACATCACGACTGAGCCTCAACAACTCAACAGTCTAGTCTTGAGAACCAAGTCACCATGACCGAGAATACCGAGGCAAAGACGGACCGCGTCGTCCCGATGCGTGTCATCGTCTGCGGCCTGCAACGGACAGGAACCTTGAGTGAATTGCCCTACCAAGATAGCCAAGCAAAACAGCCTCACTGACTCTGCCCATAGGCATGCGAGTGGCTCTCAAGCAGCTGGGCTTCGACGACTGCTACCACATGCACAACCTCCTGCTCAGCCCGGAAACCGAATGCCCGCAATGGGTGCGCCTCATCGAAGCCCACTACGGCGGCAAAGGCACCATCACCAAGGCCGACTTCGACAAGGTCCTCGGCAAATGTCAAGCCTGCGTCGATGTTCCTGCTGCGCTTTTTGGCGTAGAGCTGGCAGCCATGTACCCAGAGGCCAAGGTCATCATCCTCAATCGCGATCCGGAGTCGTGGTACCAAAGCTGCCTGGAATCCGTCATCATGGCGGCGCAGCCAGCGTCGCCGTGGGTCAAGCTCCAGATGCTCTTCTGCTTCGCCTTTGATCCGGCGACACGCGCGTTTGCTCGCTTCGGGATGGCCATGTCCAGCTTGGCCTTCCGGTATCATCACCGGACGGAGAAGGACAAGGCCATTGCCTGGTACACGGGCATGTACAAGCGCTTCCGGGACGAGATCCCCGAGGAGCGGCGTATCGAGTACCGGGTCCAGGAGGGCTGGGGCCCGCTCTGCGCCTTTCTCGACGTCTCCGTGCCGACGGTTCGGGATGAGGTGACGGGACAGGAGGTGGAGATGCCGTTCCCGCATGTCAATGACCGGGAGACGTTCCGCAAGAACACGGACAAGAGCAGGGCGCGGGCGATGAGGCGGGCGAGGGAGAATCTGCTTGCGGGAGCGGCGAGGTTGGCGGTTGTTGCGGCGGTGGGATATGCGGGATATGCTGTGACGAGGCTTGTTTTCAAGCGGTGATATGTTGGACTGAACAATGCTTGTGTAATTCAGCGAGAGGAATTCAGCGAGAGCACTTCTACTTGAGTCTTTGTTGACTTGTATTTCTTAGTTCACCATGGATCCATGTATTACATGAGTGGAACGCATCGATACGCCAACACAAGAAGCAGCCTCGAGCGCATCTGCGGTACCAGCACCATCCATCTACGCCACATAACAACGGCAAGCTCCTATCAAACTGACAACTCGTTGGTCTCGGCAAATTTAGTCCTTGAAAGCGCAGTTACCGCCGAACTGACGATTTGCCGAGAAGAGACTTTGATCCGAATCCTTAACCCCCACAACTCCCACTGACATCATTGTCCGCATGAGCCATCCACATGATGCGAGTCTGGTTGCTGTTGACCCAACAAGGACTCCCGAGGCTGAACAACGATCCTTCACAAGACTTTATTCGATAAAAGCAGTATTTCAACTGTAATGTTTTTTTTCTTTATTCGAAATCATCGAAATCATCGCATTGTGCCGAGAAATCCAGACCCCGAATACGAGGGCCGGGGCTCGCTCATCCGTCGCGGTGCAGATTCGCTGCTGCTGGTTCGCTCGAGGAATGACTCTCTCTCGGGACTGCTGCTCAGTCCTCCTTGCTGCTGCTGCTGCTGCTGCTCTTGCTGGTGGTGATGACGGTGATGGTGGTGGTGCGTTTGGCCGATAGTGCAGCCCATGGACGGCGTCTGCGCGGATGTCGAGGGTTCGCCCATCTTGAGGGAGTAGTTCGTGTGATTATGTGTATACGCCGTTGCAGACAATATCTTCGTAACGGATGTTCAACGTAGAGCCAGTAATCACAGCTAATAACAAGAATGAGTGAACAATCCAAGATTCAGCAATAATGCCCAAGCTATCTGAGCTGCCGTGAGACACGCCGTCTCTTATATAGATATATATACTGTTCCCCGCATCGTGGAATGCCGAACAAGTCCACATTTGATCAACGCCACAGCCCAGCTACTAGTCGCCCTCCAGCTGGAAAGCTCAGTGACCTCTCAAGTGCCGTCCCCAGTCACACTGTTTGACTGGCGGACCGGTAAGAGGCAAGATTTGCTGGTGGGCAGTGGGCTCGGGTGAAGAACAATTGGCTGCCGTCCCCGCATATTTGGGGATTGTCTGTCTGATGGACGAATGAAAGGGGGGACGCTAAGGGTAGAGAACAATATGTTTGTATTCTTACCGGCAGGATATTGGCGCTGTTGGCGTGGTTGGAGAGAATTGTCTGTTCAGTTCGACCTCGTGGGCCATGTTGGGCAGCATTGCGGGTTTGGCGTTGAAGACCAGTTTGAGGCATATTTGGTAGTGATGTTCTGGCGAGTCTCGACCTGGCTGCCGATGAGACACGGAACCTTCAAAAGTGGTGTGGTATGCTCGGACGCCGCTCACGAGAAATGGAGTCTTTACAAGTGTGTAATGGCAACGCTGTGGCCCGGTGGCCTTTGAGCTCGAGCAGTGATGGTTATTCGAGCAGTGATGGTTATTCGAGCAGTGATGGTTATTCGAGCAGTGAGGCAATTAAAAGACGTCGTTGAAACTTGAAACCGGCGCATCTATCAGACAAGACGCGATACATAATGCTCTGGTGATGAAGAAACAGCAAGCACACGAGCTCATCACGCGGCTGCACCCTGTCCGCCTCACATCGAGGCTCGATTCCATCTGGCCGGAGGTCATCTCGTTAACCGTTTACATCAGATCGTGGACGAGACACTGCAGCGGAAGAATGCGGACAGCAAGCAAGTCAGTGCCGGTGATGCTAGGTAATCAAGTGCAAAAGGAACGATCCTCGGTTCAGCTACCATTATGGCAATCAATAAGATGTTACTGTGTCTAGGCACTGAAGAGTTTAGTACTTTGGAAACTGGTGAGAGCAATAAGGATGGCCTCATGCCAGCTGCTTTCTTAGGTACCTACACTACAAGCCATATGTCGGGTACAGTACTAGGAATAATCTTGTCTAAGCAGCTTGTTCACCATGAGATAAGGAAGTAGCGAAGCTCTCAGAGCCCATCCTACACACAAGGACGGGGTATAAGGCGGTCTGATCACCGTGCACGTCTTCCGTGTTTCTTCCACTTTCGCAAATGACTCGCTGGGTAACGCACAACGGCTCTCGGTGGCAGGCAACTATGGCATTGGATTGTTCCTGAAAGCCCGCGTGCTGCTCAGTTTCATTGAGAGAGAACAGAGAAGAGACTGAGACCAAAAAGAAGGCCCTTGCTTTGCAGAGCAGCTTTCATGAAGACCTCTCCGCTTCTCGGTCGAGTCGCCGTTGCTCTGGCCCTGCCTTTTCGGACGGTGCTCTGACGAGCAGGGTTCAACATGTTCTTTTAAACGACCGAGAACACAATCAGTGCTTGGCAGAATTGCATTAGGATGTTACCTAGTGAAAGGGGAACATTGTGGGCAATTGAGCATGCGCAAGTGGCATCGCAAGATTCTCGATATGCGACGGTGATTAGAGCAACTCGCAAGATTCGATTCAAGTTTCAAGTTTCCAGCGGAAGCTTTTGAACAAGTTTGAAGCGGAAAGTATTCCCAATTTGTTCTCTTACGAGTTCCAGAACAGGTTCAAGACAATAAGCTTGGTCCAGACTGGGGGGTACCCAAATCTGGATGATGCAGATTTGTTCTCGCAATCTAAGCGGATAGGCATCGCAGAACATAGGGGTGTAGCAGCATAGGCCAACCCTGACTCCAGCCTCATGGAAAGCTCTGGAGATGGCGGCATGGCGAAGACTTGCAGTGGGCAGAAGGCCAAGCTGTTTCTCATCGAGACTGTTCAATGAAGATGGAGCCCCAGGCCGTCGGTACGAATTCCAACAGTGTACTCGTTGCCATAGGCATTGTGGAGAGTTACAAGCCTAGTGTGTAACCGAGTGCTCCGGCGTCGTCCATATTGTAGGCAGCAGTGTAGATGGCCTGGCACACGGAGGTCAGTCATGACGACTGGTCACGGATGCTTCAGGACGAGCTTTATCTCGAACGCAGGTCTCATTGTCAGGAAGTCCGATAGTCTCCCATTCGAGAATGCCGCTACTGTTCTTTGCGTGTATGCTACTGCCATCCTCGCATTTATCAACTTGGGTGGGTTAAGTAAGGATCTGTCATTAAAGGCCTACCTGCTTGCAGTAGCGGAGGCATTTCTTTCCCGAGTGTCTGTAGGATGATGCTTGTTGAGATATACGCCACAAATGGGAGCCATGAAAAGTGCAATATCAGTAAAGAACTGTGGAACTCCTCGTGAGCACATTATTGGCTCCCATGACTTCTTCGTTCTGCGTCAAGCTGAAGTCTGCTGCCGGCGACAAAAGGCCTGACCTGGTGCTGAACGCACTATCTGAGAGCTTTCACATGCGCCTTGAGAGAGTGTTTCTGCTTTTGGCTGAATGCTAGAAATTGGCAAACGAAGCTTCATCAGCAGAAGGCAAGTCGAGGTAAAGATGATAGTGTGGAAACGCTTCCTGGCATCGACATGTCTCCGATGGCCCTCGAAAGACCGGATATATGTGGAAGATATTGAAGCTTTCCGGTATACGCAGAATCATATTATCAACATTGCCATATCAAGACCCGCATGTGTATCTCGGCTGCAAGCTGTAGCCAAACCTCAAACTGCAAAATCGAGCCAGATAGGACATATCTGCTGGTTGGTGATTTATACGCCCTGGGTAGGTTAGTCTCCAATTGCATGGTGCAACACAGCACTCGTCATCGTACGTGCTTTTCATGAATTCTTAGTGTCTCTGAGGAGAACAAGAGCTTCATCAGGGAGATTGAGTTCTAAGAATGTACCCTCTAGAACATCAAGGGGAGCGTCACAAGCCTACATGATGTCTTTCATATTGTTCAACAGAAAGCAAAGCTTATTTTAGGCATCTTCCATGGCCATATTCTTAAGGGTAGGCCAACTCCTCTCTCCTTTATTTGCCCAAGACCGCTGACCGAACGTCAAGTAAGGCCGTGATTTTCTACAACTGTCTCCTGGCGACTGATTTGCAGCAGCAGGACTCAACGACTCTATCAACCTCTATTAAGCCTTGGAGTACTGCAACTCAAATTTCTCTACCCTCTTTAGCTCTAACTCGTCTATTGTAGACCAGGCAGACTAGTCCAAACTACTTGACGGCACTCTCTTATTTCGCCATCGGCAGGGTATAGCCACGGCAGTCGTGAACTTCGGAGTCATAGATAAGATTGGATACGCGGTTGAGAATCATGTTGTCAAGAGGAAGACCGAAACTCTATGGTTTGTTACAATTGCGTTCACAGATATCTCATAGGCAGGATTAGTCCTACAGCTGCATATAATTGATATTGAGCCTATTTATTCTATAGCATCCCCTAGCAACTCAGTCTGGCCACTGTTCCTCTCCGGACCTTTTGTCGATAACCCTTTCTCTCGTGGTTTACGGCCCTAATTACTGTCAGGAGGAAAGAGTCCCGGAAACATGCCCACAGCGTCACTAGGCTCTTAGTTGTCCCTAACATCTCTGTGCCCATTATGAAGAGATTGCAAATCTCCTACTTCTATCCCCGACTATATTGCTCCGCAGTCGCAAAGGACTCATGCATATCTTGGCTAACACCTATCCAAGTTGGCATGGTGACTGACCCTGAATAACATCCTGGTATGACAAGCCTCCCCGGACATCAATATTCTCGGCAGCCAGGCAAACTCATCAGACCGTATGCACACACCATCATTCACCGGTCCGCAGGGGACTGCTCAATCGAACCACACGAATCTTGGCACGGTTCCCTTGTCCATGTGGTTTTGGTGAGTCAGTTCCTGACTCTTCCCGCTTGGATGATACCCTACGCTGACAGTTGCCCGCTGGCCTGGATCCAAGGTTGTCAGATTACGCAGCCTCGCCGGTTACCACGGCCTGATCGTAAGCGGCTGTGTTTACCAATACTGCGCTTCAATTTTCATCGGATTAGTAGGTCCGAAATATCATAATCAATCGGTGTCGTGGGATCTCATGTCTCCGATCATAAGCTGATTTTGTCCGACAGATCTCGGCAATGTCAGGAGCTTGAGGGTGCAAGATGATCGTGAGGAATGTGGTGGTTGCTTAGAATGCCGCCTAGTGCTTGTATGTTCTTCTTGATAGACTAAATGATATCCAAGTGTTCAAGAGTGATACTCAAAGCAATGTTGGGGAAGGGCAGGAGGTATTAGTTGCTATATTCAAATGTTATCATTCGTATGTCTTTGCCTGGCCCTATCCTCAAACTGATATATCATTTTGCCGCGGTCTATTCTTACACCGAGGAATCTCGTCAAACAAATTCCAAATCGTTCATGAAGCGATACCAAGGCCAGAGGGCGCGCTGTACGCGTTGTATGCCGCTGACGCAGATTATTGTTTGCCACCTAATAGAACTAGGCAGCCTGGGGAAGGACGGTAACTTCTCGGGCTTGGAAAAGAGAGCTCATCATTCACATGGCATTGTATGATTCGCATGCTTGCGAGACCGTCTACCAGAATGACATCAGAATAGCCCAATGTCAGGGTGTCAGCCCGGTGTGGGATAACGACCCTGGCAACCCAGGGTCGTATCCATCTTTACCCATAACTCGGGGGTGCAATGTCTTCCGGTCCAATAAGTGTGCGCCGTTTCCGAGATTATTCACGAAAATTCGCCGTCATGTCTTCTTACCCCCACCTGTAACTCCGGCATAGCCATGGGAATGAGTATGCTGCGGTTAAGTACCAGATGCCTGATCCTATTTCCTTGAGTTTAGCACAAGTTGACTATTTCTTAATCGTCGGTACACTAGGTAAGGGACTAACACTCATGTGGTGATAATTCTCGATACAATTACGACCAGTATTTTCTTTGCTTGGGAACATGACGAAGCACGCCGGTCAAAGTAAGACGATCTAAGGACGGAATCTTGGCCCATCGTCAGTTCTCATGTTGTGCCATGTGTCCCATCAGATGCACCCCTGAACTAACCTTTGCTGCTCGTAAGAATTAGTTTAGCTGCCAGACTGATACGAAACAAGTCAGCAGATAGTCAAGCAGAAATAAAGTCATGAATGATCGGCAGAGAAAACAAGAAAGAGCTGTAAAGTTGGCCCGCAAAGGTAGCCTAAAGGAGACAGAGCAAGGTATGCCATGTGTATGGGATGCATTGGAGACCTTGAAGAGTATGGTCTCCTCGGGAGTTAGCGACGTGTACCTGGCTTGAGAAGCTTTTCATACCTGCACACTGCCGTGCAATTCAAGCCATGGTGTAACCCCCTTATGCTTGCAATTTTGAACTCCAAAGCTGGTCAGCAACGCTGATATATGCGGCTAAATGCCAATTCGTTTGATGAAAGAGCAAGCTAGGTGATGCAAAACTTGTTTTGAGTCCGTCCATCTTGCCCTTGATGGGCTAGTAGGAGGTTGTCAGCCTCAAGAATGTTCAAGGGATTGGCAAATCCTTCTAGATGAGTTCCGTTGCATCGCGTCGCTTTTTGACGGTCGCGCGCTCAAGCCTTCCAGTCCGGGATAAGCTGTGCCTACACGTAAAGGTCGCCTGCCCCAACAAGATACTACATACAAGGGAGGCGAGGGGGGGGGATGGATGGAGGATGGGGGATGGGGCATCTTTTCGTCCTTTGGCCTTCTTGTCGCAGATCTTTGCGGGGGATGGCTCCCACCACAAGGGTCGTAGTTCGGGCCAAATTGTTGACCGAACATGACAGGCAGGGGACAGTTACGCCGAACGAAGGGGGGAAAATGCTTGAACGACGGCTGGACGGGTAGGAGTCAAGAGGGGGAGGGGTGGGAAAACGTACGACTTCGCAAATCTTGTAGTAGTCGGAGCAATCTTTCTGCAGGCTTGGCGGCTTCAGCCGCGACCCGATTGGCGTCTTGGAGGGCATTCATGACCTGGCTAATGCACTCCTCGGCAGCCCCGACGACGTGATGCCGTGCCAGGAGCCCCCCCCCCCCTAAGAGTCTGCTATATACTATGCGGATGAGACTTGGCGCATCTCGCAGTGTCAAACAGCGGCCGGCGCTATCACATTTGATGTGAAAATAGGTCACTTGCTAACTTCGGGATACGATGTAACGGCACTTCTGTGGCCTTGTTCGCCCCCCCTGCTATGCTCCGGTCCACATCCAAGTCCCTTGAAGCATTCCAGCACTTTCACGTTTTCTTCTGGATCGCTGAGAAGCCTCGCTAGTCTTTTCATCCTTGCATTGACTTCGTTCCAACCTCGAAGGAGCACTATGACTCCTGCGAGCCGACGGCTACGGCGATTTCACTGGCCAGGTCGGACTCCAGCCTTGCCTCACCTTGCTGGGTGAGACGAAGCGAAGCTTCGGCAATTCGTCTTGCAACCCTTGCTAGGTTCAAAGTGTCAGACCGTTATTACAGGCCTTGGCGTGGGCTTCTCTATGACACTCCCTCGTTAGCTCTGTTTCCTCGCACATCCAGCTGTTTGTGTCTCAGCATATCATCATGAGTGATCGCCTCGTATGGGAGCATTGGGCCATCTATCTGGTACGGCGTAAGTCAGCTCGCTAAAGCTTTTGGCACCTAAAGGGTTGATCCCTCGCTCTAAGTGATGATAGTGGCATTCTGGTTGCTGATCACCTCTTCAGCTCTATGGTAATGTAGCACTGGCGCGGGGAAAGCAACAGAGGCTACAACGGGCACTGTCCAACTGTACAGTACCTACTGTATGTAGTCGTCCCGGTTTTCTTCATTACTACGCCCACACCGTCAGAGGTCCTGACCAGCTTCAGGAACTCCAAACCAATCACCGTGTCCAGTTCCTCACATGGGCATCATCATGGAATAGAAATAGAAACAGATACCATGGATCATGGTTCTTCAAGCACGATATACTCCATCTTTCGGGCCCAAAAGAAGAAACAATATGTATACAGCACATTCACATACCCGACTTGGCATCGACAGCCATTGCGGGGATGATTGGGCACCGTTGAGGAAGCATTTTCCGCCAAACCCTGCTCATGCACATATCCGCAGCGAACCCGTCGTACTTTATTTGGGTAGGTACCCAACAAGAGCCCCAACAATATGCAAGTAAACCGGGAATGTGCAGGTGGATTATATACACATAGTCTTTAAAATAGCTCCTATTCCTCAATAACCTTTGATTCTACATCAAAAGCCTCTGCAGTTTGCCGGTCAACAACTCGCTGCTCTTTATCCGACAGCCTGAGCAGGTGGCCCCACTCGTCTTATCCGCTCGCTCGTGATTGGCTCATACATCAGGCGGATTTCCTAATGTGGCAATCTCCCATCTTCGGCAACTCAATATAAGTGTTGGGCGTCTGTCTGTATAATAATTACTGATCAGATAATAACGATTGCGGGCGCCTTGCCCGGTGTACAGTATTCGGGTGACTGCCTTTATTAACTGCAGTCAATCCTGGTTGAAGATATGACTACTTGCTGTGATGATATTCCTACCTATCTGTACAACCCTCATGCTCCTCCTATACAATCCTGGCCAGACTCCGCGCCCGCACCAAACGGCTTCTTCATCTTGGCAGAGCTACTGTCGTGATTAGCAAGCATAGCTATTTTCCGCTCCCGAGAGCATCTTTTACCAAAGCCTGCAAATATTGCCACGTATAGGAGACACTGGAGCAACTTCAACTCCGCATACGGCCAGGGCGTCCTAGATGGCCGGGGAACTGGCATTACCAAGGCCCAAAGCACGCACACCTTGTCCTGGAAAGCCACGTCTTCGGAAGGCGAGGCGTAAAATCACTTCGCCGTCTTAAAGTAGACGGCTTGGCTTCCAACAAATAGAGAAGATAGACTGATGCACCAACTCATCGTGAGCGGGCTCACCCCTCGCATGAACCCCCTCCACCCCTTCCCCTTCGCCACCGCAATCGCCATCCAGCTTCCGCAATCTTTAAGTAACAAGAGTAATGCCCTTCCAGCCCCCATCCACATACGAATCCCTAGCTCAAAGCACGCGAGGCGCCTCTACTCACACGAACCTGCACACAAGAATAAATCTAGACTGAATCCATGTCGTGCAGATCGCTTGGCTATTTGGACCCCGCGATCGGTCTGTAAAACATCAGAGGTGGCCGACTCGCGAAGCACAGTCTATGTACTTCATCCAGCTTGTTGACTCACATACCTACACATGACCTACACGAGCTGCTCTTCTCGTAAAGCACGAAAGAGGAAGATCAAGCACGCTATTCACCATTCAAAGTCCGCTGTCACGTAGAGATCAAGACAACCCTCTGAGATGCATTCCTGTTTTCTCACTAAATCACATCAAGCACATCAGCAAGCCGTCACCCCAAAGCGCCAGTATTCCCATGCGTATCCAACGAAGCACCCAACAGTAGAGAAAGAACATAGTCATGTAAAGCCAACAATACCCATACCCATAACCCAAGCCTCTACCGTTTGACACATTGCCAACACCATTCACCCACCACCCCTTCAGTCCGCTCCTCCCTCCCCTTCCGGATCGAACCCATAATCATCCTCATACACGTCCGAGTCTTCCACCTGCGGCGTCCCCGCCCCGGACCTCTCCCGCATCGCGCTCAGCTCAGCCCGTATATCCAGCAGGATCTCGTTCTGTCGACGTATCAGCTCGGCCAGAGCCTCCGTGCTCACGGCCGCTGCAGCCACAGACGTGGACCCAGCGGCCGACGGCGCCCTCCGCTTTGCCTCTCGGCGAGCAAGCAAGTTGTACTTGGTAGCCAAGTCTTCGTACTCCGGGACCTGTTCTTGGTTAACAGTAGTAGTAGCAGTAGCAGCAGCAGGGATGCGGCTTGTCAGCAGAGGCCGATGGTGGGAAGACGAAGGGGATTCGACGCCAAGTCTAGCGCAGAGAAAGGAGGAAACACTCGTCCATGATCCCGTTTTCGTTTTGGTTCCTCGCAAGGAATGCACACTAATGCTGCTGAGCATCGGACGTATGAATAGCAAATGAGGACAGGAATAGACTCGCATCAGCAAACAATTCATAATGAAACACTGACCTCCTCGCCCCGGGACACTTTGAGGGATGCTGCCGCAACGGCGCGCGCGGCGGGCTTGATTTGGCCATCTTTGTCTACTAGCAACTAACGTACAGGAGGTGTTCAGCAGGAGTATTGTAAGCAAACAGCATGGCGTCGAAGGGGGGAGGCAGTCTAAGCGAGGTAGACGACAGCTGCAGAACGACTGGAGGAACCACGTACGTCCTCGCACTTGTGATGGCCGGCGACGCAGTGAGAACACTTGGCACTCTTCTCTATATTAAGCGCCAGCCCAGGAATGTGGGCTTCGTGTTAGTCGTGTATACAGTACTGACCAAGATGTCGATCGTAGCGGATGCGACGAGGATCCGCAGCGGGACACCCTCTCGGGCAAACGAAGGACAAGGAGGCAGCAACAAGGAGAGGAGGGAAGAGTCAGGGGAGGGGTGGATGAGAAGGACGAACCACCCTGTCCACGGCAGACATGGCCTGGGTTCTTGACCATGCGCCCGGCGCAGGGTCGACACGGCGTAGCCCAGACGGGACCTTTCTTCTTAACTCAAATCTGGTCAGCCCTTCATCAAGACGACAGCTGCGGTACGTTGTGGATGGCAAAGGGCAACTCACAGCAGGAGGCTCGGGCGACGTATTGGACGTTTTTCGGCGCGGCATCTATCAGTCAGTTCCGACGTTACCTCAAGTGCTCCAAGAGGGTTTATGTTGTCAGACGGACATGGACGGCTGCGCGCAACTCACTACTGGCAATGATGTGTCTGTGACAAGGGCTCGACAGTAAAGTAACGGAGCAAAAAGACTGTTTATCCAGGGCGTAGCCCGGTGCCACACTCGCTTGTACACGCACGCCCTCGGGGTTTTCGCTTCCTTCGGGACGTTGGAGACGGAGGTTGGTGTGGGCGAGAGCCACGATAATTGGAGTGAGTGTGAGCAAGAATGTCTAGGAGCCCGGGAGTAGTCTGCTTCAACGGCGACCGGAGACCACCGTTGCTCGCAGGGGCGTTTGATGACGAAAGTGAGGGAGCTTATGACGGCAGTGTGTTTCTAGAGGTTGTCGACACTCCCGCAGCCCTTTGGTCGGTTGCCGAGGTTGGGTGAGCCAGAGTAGGATTGTGTAGATGTATATAAGCTGAAGTCTCCGTGATCGCGAGAGCAAGGGGTCGCCTCCACACCACCCGGGTGGCCAAGGGTCAAGTATGAGTGCGGATGACACGCAGGTCCAGAGATTCGGGTTGGCGGGCTAATTTGGCTGTTGAGATCAAATGTCGTATACGTTTCCCCGGTAAGAACAAACTATCCGACCTGCGGGGGTTGGAAATCGAAGAAATTGAGAAAAGAGATGGACCACTGAGCTTGCAAAGTTGCCTTTCGCAGTTCTTTGACTCTGGGGCTCAAGGACACCTACACCTGCCACTTGAGGCCGGTATGCGCCCTGTCAAGGCCCTCTCCTATCCTCTGAGTACCTGCGTGTGATATTACAGCCTTGGCCCGCCCCGGACGCGCTGCGGCTGCGGAGTAGGAGGGGGGGCAAAGGACAAGAACGTGGGCTTACCCGCGACCCCCCCAGCTGCATCTCCGTCTGTAGCCCCTCAAAGCTCCAATGAGCCTTGCACGCACGACACCACCTCTCGGCGAAAGAGTTGCCAGCTTCAGTGCGAGAAATGTTCCGGTCTCGTGAAGACAGTCGGAGCTAGTAAGGTTGAATGCCGGCCGCAAGAGGCAGGGTTGTAAGATCGTGTCTGTGGACTTGATGCTGGTTCCAGACCGGCTTCGTGCTCTTCGAACAGCTGAAGAGCCTCAATTATGTTGCTAACTCAGCAAGGGAGTTGAAACAACGTCAAGCTGCTCATTCAGATGAGAAAAAAAAAGAAATTTAAGAAATAAAAGCGACGGCAAAGAGGAAGTCCGTAGAAGAAGAAGTAGGCCATCTCAAGCAAAGGATGGAAGGGAAAGTCGCCGGAGACAAGGCTTGCTATACGCCAGCAACGCGCATTGGACGGATCGAGGTCTCCAAGCCTCGACGATGAAACGTCAAGCTACAGCTGGGCTTAGTCGTAGACCTCGACTTAGGTGAGATTGTTGAAAGACCAGAAATGATGTGCCTCTGCCGATATCGCAAGCCTGTCCCTACGCATGAGCACGCCTTCCCTGGCCGAATATAGGGAAGGACCAGATGCGCCTCTGGTGGTCAAAAGCCACGGCTCCTGATACTGCACTCTACTGTTCTTGCGGACTTTGCTCATATCGCCTGCAGTCATGGCTTGCTTCCGTAGCCCTGAACTCACTGTAGGTCAATCTTCCAAAACTTCAACACACATTTCATCATTGATTCGTATAGACAGGCAAGAGCTTCTCTTGTAAGCGATCGACAAGGAGGATTTGAGCCAAACAGTGTCATATGGGTCTTTAGTAATATGCCATGGAACAACAGCTCCCAAGAAGACAGACTGCGCACGGGGCGCCCCGTTTGACCCGTTTGACCTCTTTGACCTCTTAAGTGACTATACAACGTAGTACCAGTGAATACTTCCATAGATTGATTCAAGTATGTAAGCCAATGGAGAGTTAGAAGCCGTTTACAAGAGCCGACCCAAAGAGAAGAAGCTGACCGTTTGTTACTCCTGGATCGTGAACACGGAAGAGGACACAGGGTCGCATCCTCGTTATGCTAGATAATGGCTATCAAAAGCAACCACAGACAGAAAGCGAACAAAAACAAGTACACGAAAAAAAAAAAAAAAAAAAAAAAAAAAAGAGAAAAAGAAAAGGCTAGTGCAGGAATGAGACATGAAGGCAGACAGTCGAAAGTCTATACTTGTTATTCGGCGATTATCTTCTTCAAGACGGCGATATTGGCGGGCTTCGAGAATCGGCAGCGGGAGCTCTGCTGAGGACGGTAGAAGTCTGCTTCCACAGCTGAGTTGGGTGTGCTCTCCCTGCTTGAGACCTGATAAGTGACAAGTAAGAATAGATGCAAATTACCTCACCGGGTTTCGTAACCCCCACGGCTCATAGTAAGACACGGTGAAGAGCGGCTGGCGTCGGCACTGACCTATTTGAGGGACCAGGACTTTGTGCTGATGTTGCAGTGGTGAAGACGATGCGAAATTTTTGAAAGGATCGGGGAGGGTTTGCCAACCAGTTGCTCTGGGGTGGGTTGAAGCTGGCTTGTGTCCCCTAGGCAGGGAAAAAAGCATGAAAACTACAGCAGTATATTCTAACGGATAAACTGGACGCATCTCGTAGACACCACCAAAAGAGACGCCAGCACACCCGTTCGTTGCCTCGTACATCTGATTTGGAAGCTGTCAGTCACTCATGTCGAGCAAGGAGGCTCGAGACGGGTAATACTTGTGATGGCTAGCAAGTAGTCCGTGTGTGGGAGCCCCTGCTGGTGCATCTTCTGGCAGCCCATATCGAACCTGTAGTCTCGGGATCTGCGACGGCTGGCGAACAAGTGCCGATCACTTTCAACACCCGCAGCCACCCTTCTCGAGGCTGTCTGCCTAGGCTACGGCGTTAATACTGCGGGCTCTTGGGGCGTAACCGGGCCGTGTCTTTGACTTTTCAGCTTTTTGTTCTAGTACAAAACACTGTAGTACTATACTATACTACATGTAAATAGCAGGGTCGGTGGTGAAAGGAGCAAGGCGCCGGACACGAGATGGCCTTGGCACACAAGAGCGGACCGCTTCGTGGGATGGGCTTCTTCTTCAGGTGCTGGAGAAAACGTTGGATGCGCTACTGCGACTCCTCGTCTGTTTTCAGCTGCAAGTGCCGCCGATCATCTACACGGATAGCCACATTCCTCGAGGCTGTCAGCTTCGTCGCCCGTTGCTGAGACGGGAGTCCAACTTCGAGCGTCAGGCTGGTATGGGCTCTCTGCAAGGGACGTCATTTGAGGCTAACTTGAGGGAATAGGAACTGTGTTTCAATCTACACACCTGATAGGTCTGTAACGGTAACGGCGATTCGTGCCTCCTCTATGCTACCCTCATGAGCCGTGGCTTGGCAGGGAACCGGCGTTAACGGGGGCTGAGAGTTGAGGGTCAGGCTCTATATGTTCTTACGTCAGTGCCGAGTTGACATGCGCCTTTGATGCAGGGTCTTCTTGGTACTGCAGAATGTATTAGTAGGTGCTTTGATGCCTCGCGATTTCTATTAGTACTGATGCCGTTGATCGACATTGATGTTGAAGGGAGAGAGAGAGCCTACAAGTAGAAGATGCGCCTCCAAGAGGTCGCCTCAAGGTCTACACCTCAAACATAAACTTACCAGCAAAGGAGCAGAGTGAGACCGGGCATTTCTCGTGTGAGTCTCTCAGCCGTCAGGCACCAGAGCTAATAAGCGCCATGGCTCACTTGTCCTCTTACACCCAAGCTGTCAGGGTGCTGACACCAGCCCGTTTCTCACCCCACGGCCCTGCGCAGTAGCGTCGGGGATCGGTTGGGCCGAATGAAGGATGGGTGGAGCGGCTTTGAACCTCCATCCACGCTCTGTGGACGCGGGAGCGTCTGGATGGCAGCTGGAATGAGATTGGGTGTGTGTGGGAGGGAGGAGGAGAGAAGATGCAGTACGAGGAGAGCGGCCCGGGTTCTTCTGGTGCTTGGATCTACACATGATCCCGAACCATCATTCACGGGAACTACATACGGTATATGCCCACGGCAACTACACCCCCGGTAGTGTTGTGAGAACCGCCCAATCCCTCCGCCTGAATAAGACTCTCTGCGTCATGGGAAGTTCTATACCTAACGTGCTATGTCTGGACACCATCTCAGAACACAGGACTATCCAAGAGGCCCCTTGCAAGTGAACATCCGGCTCTAGATGAAGTGGCTCTCGCCAGCCTGTTTCTGCTCCAGTACAGATACGGACTTTGTACTCCCTAGTCTAAACAAGCAATCAACGCCAGACATCCGCGACTATGAACGACAAGTGCCGCAGGGGATCAGGCAGGTATGTACAGAGCAGCTACGGATGTACCCCTGTAACGTGATACGCAGCATGCGGGCTTGGAGGTCTGGACCTCGCGTCCAAGTTTGTTATTTGTGCCTCTGAGTATTCCAGAGTTTGGTCAATAGAAGCCTTGCCCTGAGATTGGCTCATTCAAACTATATACGACATTTGCATACAT